TATATTTGATTTCAAAGGATTTAGTTTTAAAGTTACATTGATATATTAGTATATCAGAGTAACTTTAATAAAACATAAGAATATATATATATATTTTACAGTTTATTAAATATAAAATTTGACTACAAGGTAGAAAGTAAATCACAATATTTGATAAAAGGTATAAGTATACCATTTTACAGTTAATAAATAATAAAACTATTTCTGACTATGATATTTAAAATTTATAAGATAGATAGAATATTAAAAAACATACCGGTATTTGCAGGCGCAGGCCCAAATTCAATAAAAACCAAAATTTTTCTTGCGAAAATCGGGATTTTTTCACAGAAAAGGTATTTTTTGATTTATCAACAATCATTGTCAAGTTGACAATATACAGGGTGTTTTCTAATTAGTCTAAAAAATTGTGGTGTGATTCCTCATGTGTTCTTAAAACAATTTTTATATAACCATTGGATCTAAAGTACCTACTTCCTTTCTGATCTAGAGGGTGTTAAAAATAAAAAAAACGATATTTAACATAAATGGTACACTACTGTTTTTTTAAAGAAAATATTTTTTTTTTCTTAACTGGCCATCCTTTTTCAACAAAATTGATCTTTTAAGTTTTTCTTGTTCATCAAACGGTTGCCGAGAAAAAATAAATATACTTATTAAGAGCCCGCCTTAAGCCGTTTTCTAACGATTTTTGATTTTTTAGATTAATTAGGAAACACCCTGTATATGCATATCACAGGCAACCAAATAAACTAGTAACCTCTAAAAATTATTTTTCCTAGCACTAGCGACATATCGTGTTTTTAGTGAGTACTAAATTATTTTATCAAAATTTTACAATATAAGTTTCCAGGCAATGCCACTGAACAACGCATCCCCTTTGAGCAAAATGCATGTACCGACAAGCCGGCGAAAATGTTTGGCGCGCTCGGTTCGATGAAATACGTAACAATACGTACAATACGTACTGAAACACGTATTCACTTGCCGAATTCGGCTGTCCGCGCTTGGCTCGTTTGGTTCGTTCGGAGCAAAATGCTCTAGTGAGTACGCACCTTTTAACAAAAAAGTATAGTCTGTCCCAGGCGAAGATCCATAACAATTGAGTATGCCAGTTTAATGCTGGCTATACACCGTCCGATTCATTAGGGCGATTGGGACGATTTAAGCTTGATTTTCATGCATCCGTTATACGTTGGTACCTTTGAATAAGAAGACTAAGGAAGGAGCATAATGCTATCCATGTATTCATGCATGGTGGGCGGAAAAAGCACTCTAGTGTGGGGATCCTTGACAGTTCTGTTTGACGATTCATTTGACACATTTGAATTTGATTTGAAATTTTGTGGATTTGTCAGTCTTTAAGGAGCTTATTTTATGTTATTTATTATTTAGTCTACTACTGATAGTTGTATAAAGGTAGTAAATCTAGATCGAAATTGTAGCAGAACTTAAATTAACAGTGACACTATCGCGATTTATCGAAAAAGACTCTAAAATAGTTGGTTGTGTAGCGTGCGGTAGATCTCGGCAAAAATTGAGTGAAATAATGGAATAAATTTTCGCTAGTAAGTTACTATACTAGTAAACCGATCATTTATGAAATTCACTTAAATTAACTAAATTATATATTTTTCTTGCATTTTAGCTTTTATTTATTACTTGTCAAAGATTAGATGTCAAAGAATTTAGAGACGTTAATTTGACTTACCTGCTTCAGTAGCGTATCGGATGCTTGTGTTAATAAATACTTATTATAACTTATCTATTTTTATTAGAATTATATATTTTCATAACAATTTTAATAACTACCAACATTTATTCACAACGTAAAATAAAACAACAAATTATTGAGTCTACCCCACGTCTACCCTACATCATAGTTTTACATTTTTTAAATAAAATTAGAACAACACTAGCTTTTTTCGTTTTCCTGTTATTACCGATTCTGAACCGTCCTAGAATTGTGATGCGTATGCGCAGAAGGAAATATGAAGACATTATTTCATTTGCGCATGCGCTGGAGAGTTCTAGGACGATTCAGAATCGATAATAACAGTAAATATTTTACTTCAGCCCGTCAACGGACCCGTTCATACGATCATAGATAAATGCAACAAGTTTAGATTGGAAAGCCCGTAAAAATTTTAGGTCGCGAAATTATTTTGGGTCGCGACCGTTATATACGATCTGGCGCTGCTACAGCGGTCGCTAACAACAACGGCAAACAAAATCAGAAATAATTTTCTCTTGTCAAAGTCAGAATCTTCAAAAATCATAATGATCTTTCAAAATCTAAACCGCTCTCATTAAAGAAATTCCGAAAAGTGTTTATAGCGTCCATTTTCAAAGTAATAATTGCTATCTTGTGAGTTTAATTCAAGTGTTATTTACTCCAACCGGTGATAATTGTGGAAAAGTGGCATTAAAAACTTAAAAAGCTGTGCTGTGAACTGTGAACTGCAAAAACCATCATGGATCGTGGCATAACGTCGGTTTCCAATGTTTCATAGGTATTTCATACATGCGTCCTTATATAAAATAAAGTCTCTTGTATGCAACACACTGTCTTTTATTTATAAAATTAAACGAAAATAATAATAAATTTGAATAAACAATATTTGGCGATATAATTCCGGAAAAAGCCGAACCGCTCCGAAATTTTCAGAAGTTTTGGGTCGCGACCGTTGCAAGAATAGCGCCAAATTAGTGTTTACATTGTCCTTATGGGCACTTTCCAATCTAAACTTGTTTCATTTATCTATGCATACGATAACGGACGTTTTGACACTTTTTTTACAAATTTAGTCTAACAATAATAAAAATATAAGTAAAATAGCAAAATCGTTATGGAAACGAAAATATAAAATAACACCAACGTATATCCGATAAATGGTGGCATGAAAATGCAATAAATTTAAAAATTGCGATGTTTTCTAACCAATCAAAGTCTTTAAATTCTACCAATAAAATTAATATCGTATCATCGTATCGTCGGACAACGGATGCATGAAAATCAAGCTTAAAGCCTGAGTCTCATGCATCCGAAATCCGATGGTACGACATCCGAAATTTGAAGTTATCGTGTGAAATAAAAAAAGCCTGTCACATACATCCGAAAGTTCGTTCCGAAATTTGACAGTTTTGACATTTTTCTGCTGCGCTGAATAGAGATTCATGTCATGTTTTATTGGAGAAACACTTATAAAAATAACTTCCTCGCCAAATATCCCGAAATTGCCCACTTCCCACTAAACTTGTTTTAAAAACAAATGTTTTAAAAAAAGTGAGGTTAAAAACACACGATATCGTACAAAAGTTAAACAAAATTTAACTTTATACGACGTCGGATGATTAGTTAAAATTATCGGATAAAAATTGTTGTCAAAATATTTCGACCAATAGGAGCACCGTCGGATCGTCGTGTCATCGGATTTCGGATGCATGAGACTCCGGCTTTAGTCGGGTTGAATGAAAAATTGGGTCGTATGTAGGCTTGTCATCTGATAAATCGGGTCTGTGTTGGCAGAGAAAACCATATAACTGGACGATTTTTTTTCTATTAAGTCACTTTGTAGCCGATGATTTTGTTTTTTTTTTCTAGTTATAATAACAGCTAACGATAAGACCGATTTTACCATGTGTACTAGGGTTCAGAACCGGGAAATCCCGGTACCGAAAGTACCGAGAATTTCCGGTTCTTTTGAGACATCAAAGAACCGGGACTATTTTCGGTACCGAATTTTTTTACTCGTTAATAAAATGTAATTAAAAAAAAATATTTTTTGTTATATGCGAAAGTTCTTTGATACTTTCTAGCGGTCGAAATCAAACTCTTCTAAATAAATAGTGATGTTATCTCTTATTGTTGTTACTTCTGAAGTTCTTTTGAATTTCCTATAATGTTTATTAACAATTATTGAAGTTTAGATATGTTATTTTATTATTAAGTATAATGTTGCTCAATATATTAGTTATATTTTATGTTATGTTTTTACAGACATTTGCATTTTTAATTGAAAATGTATTTTTTTCGAATTTAGTTATAAGTTGGTTTATGTTGTTTGGTGTAAATTTTAAGTTTCCTCTATTTTTTTCGTTTTTCCTTCACTTGTGTTCATTTGTGTTGATTAGGCTTCTGAACCGGGAAATCCCGGGCTCGAAAGTATCATGAATTTACGGTTCTTTTGAGCCATCAAAGAACCGGGACTAGAAATGAAAATTTCCGGTTCTTTCAGTACTTTAGGTGCCACCGAAATTTTTTTTACTGATTAAGAAATTATTTTTTGTTACATGCGAAAGTTCATTGATACTTTCTAGCGGTCGAAATCAAACTCTTCTAAATAAATAGTGTTGCTCAATATATTAATTATATTTTATGTTGTTTTAATAGGAATTTGCATTTTTTGACTGATTATTTAATAATTATTTTCATTAAAAACACATATTTCTATCGATTTTATTTTTGAAAGCCATCTCTTGTTTGCTGATTGACGAAATGTGCCATCATTTAACAAAAAATTAGCCAGTACCGAAAGTACCGAAAAAAAAGGGACATCCCGGTTCCTTAGAGGCGTGGCCCGGGAATTCCCGGTTCCCACAAACGGTTCCGGTTCCAAAAACCCTAATGTGTACCTATAGGAAACGAAATTGAACTGTCGATTACAGATGGATTTATTGTGAAATCGGGTAGTGTGGATAGACAATAGCCAATTGCGTTGGCTCAACCTAGTTGGACGTGTGTATACCACCGCCTAATTCACAGGTAAATTGTATTTTCTGTGATTTTGAGGACCTGGTTGGACAGACTATAGTTAGAAGACTGCAAGGTTTTGTATAGGTATATTAAGGGACCTAACCCTCAATTGGGAACAAAATGGTACATTATGTACATTATCAGGTCTCTGTTAGCAATAAATATATTTTGTCTTGTATAACCAAAGTCGATGTATATTATGAAATGTTATGTATGACGTTTGTTTTACCGTATTTCTTTTTAGATTTGCTGGCATCGCAAAACAATCTTTTAAGAAACCCGTCTTATGAACTAAGATCTGTTTGCTTTGTTCCATTGAAGCTAGCATTGGAAAGCAAGAAGAGTAAACTCGTGTCGCTAGCTTTAACAGGATTAAACGTAAGTGATTTGATGAAAATTATAAGTAGATAGTTAATATTAATTTAGCACCTAGTGCTAAAAAGTATTTCATAGTTTTTTAAAAAAAATATCTAAATTTAATTTAATGTGCTTATAAGTACCTACCTAGTCTTTAGATCGAATTACTTTCATGCCTGGTTTCATCAACTTATTTTCATTTAAAGATATCAAATTTTATAAATTTTGGATCCTATTTTTCCAAAATTTGCGCTTCAATGAAAAAATAATGACATAAATTTGTTTTGAACATTCTGTACCACTTAATTCAAATATGTTTACATTATATCTTTTTTCTTCATTTCATGAAATTCTTCTACCAATTTTGACTACTGCGTATTCAGAAACAAGACTACTATTGACAATTTAATATTTTTTTTACCACAATATTTTTTTTGAAAACAAAAATAATATATATTTTTTAAAAATTTCAATTTTAGAAAATTTTTGAATTTTACATTTAATCTAAAAATGAAAAAAAATGGTATATGTTCTAAACGTTCTGCGTCCCCTACCCCTCGTCAGAGGTTTTACTTTGGTATAGTATGTTCGCTACATTTTCGGATATAGGTTACACCCTCTATACTATTTTTAAATTGTGCACTTTAACTTGAAACTATTACATTTAATTTACCATATTTTTGTTTAAAACAAATGAGAAAATTAAGTTTATTTTATCTTGGACAATTTTATGGGTGCCCAACAATATTATAACCCTAGAATCATACCCTATAAAATATTTGTTTTAAAATAAAAACAAGAATTGTTGTTTGGTACATTGATCGGTACGTTCTTTTCTATTTTCAAAACTATATTTGCCATACCTTTTCTTTTTAATTATTGTGTTATTTAAATTTAATTAAAATTTGTAAAAGTATCTAAGTATATTACACAATGTGATGAGTGTTACAATGTGAAAAGAGTGTTACTATTAATATAGTAACAAGCGAGGCAACAAGTTACCTTCATAAGATTAAATTTAGTGTATTTTGTAATACATTATTATTATTAATTGAAATTGGAATTCAAAGACATTAAGACAATTATTAATAAATATTTAGTTGGTTTTGGACATTCATTGCTTTTGCGTCCAGTTTTGTTCTTGAAAACCATTGTGTATGTAATAGCTATACCGACTGGTGCATCGTCGTTTGAAACAGGAAATCCTGCCCAAATTTTAAACTGGTCAAATATTGACTCCTCTGTTGATTTTAAAGCGATGTTGTAAATAAAAATGTTGACATTTGCCTGGATTTCTCTGTTCAGATTTATTTGACGCAGGTTTTCTTAAATTAGCTAAAATCTCGTTGTTCAAAATTGTTCAAATTTGGCAAGCGTATTCAGCATACGCAGCATCTTTAAGAAAACTATTTACGACATTGTTGGCAAAATCAATAGGGGGCCAATATTTGGAGAATTCAAAATTGATATGGGATCTTATCTCTCGAACGACCATGCACCTCCCGGTTCTTGCAAACATGATTGCAATGGAACATCAAAATCAACTTTTTTTTATCATTAATTGTCGACTTTCAGAAAATAATACGAGATGAACGATTTCAAACGGGAACCGAGCCTGAAGATGATTCCCTGTGGCTTCCCGCTCAGCTTCTTTTATCTACATCGTCGATGTTATCCCACTGTGAAGATACGCAAGTGCACATCCTTAGAGTGGTGCTCAACTTGGCTTGTACAGCAAGTTGGGCTTTAAATGGTCGGTTGGTTTTGTTACTCTTAAGCAGATGTGGCGAGGCGTATGAACTGGGAACACAACCCGTTAGAGCAGCAGCACAAGCAGCCGCGAGTCAGACTTTAACTGCGTTTTGTACATTTCTGGGTAAGTAATTCCTATTTAAGAAGAAAAAAAATATATATGTATGTGTGCACTATGAGTGCATATTTGAAATGAAACTTCTTACTTCCGTCGGTCCCTTTGTCCGTCTGTCAGTCTATCCATCTCTATAATTAAATACCGTACATACGGATAATTTTGGTTCTGTCAGTTCTGTTTAGCACTATTTTAGAATGCACTAGGCTGTAGGAACACTTTTAACTACACTACTAATTCAAATGTTTTTATTCTTTTCAGTCTTCTAACTTTTCAAAGAAAAAATTATGATTAATTTAAAAAAATAAGAAGTTCCCAAATTTATCATTTCAACGACTGATATTGGAGATGGAGAACTACCCTCTATAAAACCGTCCCAGATACTGGCTTTTGTCAAAGCCCTGGGACTGTATGATGAGTTATGATTCAAGAAAGGGGGACACAATGGATCTGTAAGGTCGAAGTGATTAACCCCCCTCCCACTCATTCTAAATTCTAAAAAAAAAATTCTACGTAAAAAACGTCGTAAATGTATATTTTTACTCAGTGGTACTCAGTACTACAGGTACAGACGAGAAGTTATTACTCTCCAAACCAGATAAAATATATGTAGGTGACACCCTCTATAAGTTGGAGTCATATTGGCATCAAAATAAAATTGCTCATGTCGAAGAACTCCCAGATACCAATTTTCATCAAAATATTGACGTTACTTCAGAAATTATTTGGAAAAAACCGAAATAAAAATGAAATTTCTACACCCTGTATCTCCGAAACTAAACATTTTAGGACATACACATACGAACTTTTTTACTTATTTTTATCTGCAGAATATTCTGCGGAAGTTTCCGGAATACATTTCGGACCACTTTGTATACAGATAGGGTTGAATGTCGCCTTAAGTACATTTTCCTGTACTTTGATTCGAATTTTTCACATTTTTTTTTTCACATGCGATTTCTATCTGAGTTTAGCATCTCATTCTCATCATTCCAAGATATTTAGTTGTATTTTCATAACGTACTAGTAGTTGATTTTATACTGGCATTGTACTCGATTTGTTTATTAGTGAAATAGATATGCACTGATTTTTATCATTCAATTTAAGGCGCTTTGTTGCTGCTCAGCGTTGTATTTCGGTAACAGCCAAAAGTAATATCTTTGGTAACGGCAGTTTGTAACTTTTGGGTTGACTTGCTTGGGTTTTATACAATAAAGTAGTCGAAGTGATAGTAATATAGAGAAGTAACTTGTAGTTAATTATGAAGAAATTCTTTTACCAAATTGATTAAATATTTTTATTTTTCTATTTTCATTCTTTTAACATATATGGAAAATTGGCTCATGAAACATAAGAAATAAACTCTTGAGATACATTATTATTTACCCAACTACTGAGTCAATCATATTTCAGATTTATTATTATTTAGAGTTAAATACTCCCAGAGGGGTGTCTAATTTTTTCCCAAATGTAAAATAAAAACTAATAAATGAAACATTTCGAATTTAGGATATAATGGTATATTATATTTTGGTCTTTTATTATATTAGATGAGGAATGCCAAGAAATACTTCAGCAACAGCAGAAACACAGGCATTCAGGCAGCAGCGCTGAGATGGTCTACACAAAAACATCAGCGGTTGCATGCTTCAATGAAGCCATACCAGTTATGCAGTATATTTGCAGCAAGTTAGAAGAAAACAAGATGTACATAATATATTTAGTTATATAATAGAGTATTTATATAAAAACTTATTTTTACTAGGTTGCCAAGGTCAAGCGATTCTACAATTTTTCTGCTGGAATGTCTCTTAACTTTAGTGAATACATTGCCTCATACTGTTCACTCCAATATACATTTTACAACCTTCTTGTGGCAGAGATTTTGCCCTGCATTGCTATCTCTATTAGGTTCACCCAGTGATCCTAGTGGACAAGTCCTTACTAACAGTCAGGCAAAGATTGTATACAGGTACCTATTACAAGATTGCAAATTTTTATTGTTATATCTACATAAATACATTTATTTTTTAGTATCGGAATTCAAGTTGTACGATTGGTTGGAAGAGAGCGTCCTTTAAGACCAGTTTTAGAAGCTTTATTTCATCGAATGCTCTTGTTACCAAGTCCACCCAAAAGACTGGAACCATTAAGAGCCGCTAGGGAACTTTTAAGATCTCCTGGAAGATTAGCTGATTTGCTCTTACTTTCTGGACCTATCCACAGACACGCTGGAGATGACATGGCAATCATAAGACTGTAACTATACTTGCAACTGTATTAGTATATCAATAATGTATTCTTGAATCTAAACAGGATAATGGATTCCATAGAAGAATGCTCGCAATGTAACGATCATGGGGTAGTGTTGGCTAGCGTCGAATGTGTGGGTGCTTTACTAGGCTCACTTGAAGCACTGAGCAGAGGAGAAGGACTGAATCAAGAGGCAGCTGATTTAACCAATACTAGATATGGGTTGCTTGAACAAGCTGATTATACTGGACCATTAACTTACCAGTCTCTAGCGAGATTACCCAAACCTTACAGGTTTGCTTTATAAATACGAGGGTTTGCTGAAAAGTTGTCTCACCTCACAGTGACAAAACGTTTTCTTTAATTTACTTTCATTTTTTTACATAATCTTCACTTTGTGAATGATGCGTGGTATTGTCATATAATGGTTTTTCCCTTCTGAATATAATCGATTAGAATTACAACTCGATTCTCCCAAAAACCAGTCGCCATCAAAAATGTTAGCTTTCTTTTGAGGCCATTTCTTATTAGCAGTCGCTGTATTGAGTATACTTTCGTTTTTGATGTATAATGATGAATCCATGTTTCATCTACAAAGATTAAACGGAATTAAATCTCATCTCTGTAAATAAACTCACCGGCAAAAAAAACCGGCCACTAAAAACTAGTCCCAATTTCAAAGTTGGATTTCTCGAGAGCCACTCATTAGATTTTGATGTTTTTTTTTAAATTGTAAATTAATTCCTTCTTAACGGATGCTACGTCAGAAATTTCTATTCCGAATTTATTTTGAGCATATACTGGGCACAACAATAAGACGAAGTTTTTTGCCCGAACTTTGTAACACCCTGTAGGGTGTAGTAGCTGTAGTAGCTATTGCTAAATCAAATCACATTGTAGCCTCATCTTTTGTGAGTATTTTTTTTTAATCTCGACATTATCTCTGTTTGTATTGGAGATACGCTGCTTTAAAACGAAGGTCTCGGAAAAATGCTTCGCAGGCAGAAAGTTTTATCTATAAATAATCAAGGCGACATAGACGAAAAGGGATTTATGAATATTTGCAATATGACAACAACGGTTGTCAAATTAAAAAAATGCCATTATCTGTGACGGATGTTGCTCGTATTGTGGCTTTAATTGAGGATTACCGGAGTGAACGTTATGTGTCCGATACCCTGGGTATACCTCGAAGAACAGTCCAGGATGCCTGGAATCGGTATAGGAAACGGGAAATTTCACCAGGCGAGTGGGTTCCGCAAGAAAACAGAAGACTAATGCAATTGACGACCGCTTTATTATTCTGAATACTTTACGAAATCGCAGAATTACAGCGTTTCAGAATCAACATCTGCTACAAGCCGTGCGTAGAACTCAAGTCAGTTAGAGAACACTCCGACGAAGACTAAAAGAAAACAGCTTGTCTGCAAGGAGGCCTGCCACGCAATGGAATATTAGGTTTATCGGATTCATGCGAACTGTTTTTACCGCTGCTACTTGCACTCATCTTATTGATAATTTCTATCAAAATTTAACGCAAACTATTACAAAATTACTATGTAAATTAAATAGAAATCACGAGAGCTTCACTAAACACGTCCGCACAGTCTGGTATCTATAGAACTAACTTTAAAGCAGCGTATCTCCAATAGAAACAGAGATAATCTCGTGATTAAAAAAATAAAATGCTCACAAAAGACGAGGTTACAATGTGATTTGGTTTAGCAATAACTACTACAGCTACAGGGTGTTACAAAGTTAGCTACAGGGTGTTACAGCCTACAGGGTGTTACAAAGTTCGGGCAAAAAACTTTGTCTTATTGTTGTGCCCTGTATATGCTCAAAATAAATTCGGAATAGAAATTTCTGACGTAGAAATTATATTTGGTTAGTAGGTATATATGTTAGTAGGTATATAGTTGGAAAATATTCCAAAATTAGGACTAGTTTTTAGTGGCCGTTTTTTTTGCCGGTGAGTGTATTTATCGTATCAAAGAACAAAGGACTCTTTCTAATACTGAAATTTTGGTTGGGTTTGTAACATATACATTCTTTAGACATTCTTATGCCCTCTGGTATCTCTTTTAATTTAATTCGGTGTAATTGAGTAACATTGTCAATGTTTACGATCAGATATCACGTAGATTTAGGTAACCAAATTATTACGATAGTAAATAATGGTCCTTATATACGGCACCCAACACGTTTTTGACTTGTAGAAGAATTGAAGCGAAACTTTTTACTAACAGCTATTAAATTGAAGGACTTGAATATTTGTTTATGAATGCTTTTTATAAACTTCAAAAAAATGGAGTTAATATAAAACGATAATTCTGTTACCAGGACGGATGGCTGTGGCTATTAAACCAAAATACTACTACGTCTATATCTCTGACTACTCTCTGACTACTACTAACTGCTACTAACCAACAATTTGTTTTGTGTAGTCTCTGGTCTGTTTTTGTTTAAATGTTTTGTTAATTATTCATGTTGGGGATTTATTTTTAAATTAATGTTAATCATTAGCCAACCAGTATTTTTTTTGCACAATCAAAATAGTTTCTCTAAATTTTACATAACCAAATTGTCACTCTAAATTGCTGTCCTTTTTAGAGAGATGTCACTTGTGTGGTCGTTATTGAATTCATTATTCGAATTCTCAGAATGTTGTTAAAAGTTTTATCTTAAAATAAAATTTTAATCAATGACAATTGTTTATCTCCATCATTTACCAAATTAATAATACAGAAATTACAGCTCAATTACAAACAATTCATTACATGATTTACAATCATTTTAATAAATTATACGAATATTTTCGTTGATTATTGGTTTGAAATAAATATGACAGTATCCTCCAATGAAAATGCGAGTTACTTCTAATTCTAAGCTTGATAATGAGCTAGATTCTTTTCCTAGACCGTTATTCAGAAGCTACTTGCTTGCAGCTATCGATGAAAATATGCATGGAATCAAGGTTGGTACAGTTTCAAGTTTATTATAGTGCTTTTCTTAGCCGCGTTGGTACAGATCGTTACCCAGTGTTGCCACAAGCTTATTTTTTATCGGGGATTATCACGAGATAACGGGGTTAAATTGGTTTAAAAAGGGTAGATCTACCCCCAATGGGGTAGCTGTGGCAACACTGCCGCTATCACTTTTTCCCTCGCAAACTCGCGCGTCACCGCCGTCTCCCATGCGTTCTCGCGGCCGTCATTCAATGGCAATTTTTACTCCCAACGCGCGTAAAGAAGTTTCATTTCAATAACAAATATTTGACGACTTTGTATTTGATTTTATCTATTTTCGTAATAACTCTTGCATCGTTCAAGCTGCAACTGTGTTGAACAAAAAAGAAAGTGCAACACCTTTGAAAATTACTGAAATCGTTTCTGTTGAGCAAATCTCAACAAACACTGAAATTTCGTAGATTTTGATGATGAATGTTGCCGTACCTATACATGTTGAGGTCAGAAAGTTTTTACAATACCCTCGTAAATTCAAAGTTCAAAAAGTTCTTAAATCAAAGAGTTTCTCATTAATTTTCAGAGACGTAGTAGCAAACTTGAGATACCAAAGTGATTCCTCCGAAAGCAGTGGAATTGAAGGCAATGCTCGAGATGCGGAGGAAGAATCAGATTCTGGTGCGACTGAAGGACCGGAAGATGATATCAGTCATTCAGATGATAGTATTATGGATGATGAAAGCTTTTTGACTAATCAACAATTACAAAAGCTATATAAATTGCCAAAATCTTTGCATTTGGTTAGTATTAATAATTAGGAACAATTATTGTCAGTACATTTTTTTATTTTACAAAAATGAATTTTGCAAAACCCAAAAGTCAAATTCTATAATATCTTTCACAAAATGTTTAATTATATTAAAACCTATAAGTTATAAACTACCAACAACTAGTTTTTGTGAATTACACTTAATGATGGATTTTGCTTAAGTATGCTTTTTTTAGGGACGAGTGGGCATTGAAGAATGCAATACTGACATTGAAAGACATAACTCAAGACACTTTGTGAAAACATTACAAAATATTTTGTTGCCAAATTTATTAACTCTTCGATCATCGATTCAGGTGAGCAGGAAATATTATTTATTAAAGCTTTAAGCCAGGAAGCTTTATTAAAATTTGTCCGCTTTTAGGTAGATGAAGTATTACAGGAGTTTGCTTCCAAATGTTGCCAACATAATTACGCCCAGAACTACGAAATTTCAACTATCATGAATGCCGATGGGGTCTATTTAGCAACATATTCTGCATTACTGTTAGACCTAAAACTTATTCAAATCGGACATTACGAAGAAATTAGAAAAGAGGTAAGCGTTTTTTTTTACACAAAAGTAAGAACAGTAAAAAATGTTATTTTTTATAAATATAGGTTACAGTACCTATAACTGAAGTACAGTTTGTCGAAGAAATTCATGGAAGTGGAGTATTGGTCTACGTGTCTGCTACTTGGTTATGTGAATTGTATCAAAGCGTTTTAGCAAAGTCATTGTTGCTAACTGCTGGGTATGATCCGAAAGGCAGACAGCAACCAGCACTGATAAATTTATTAACAGGTACCTACCTAAATTATTCCTACAACTGATAAAAATGGCCGTCAAACGTCTTCCGGATTCGGACCTTCTCATATTGAGTGTCAAAACTTGTCTTCTTGTTCTAGATGTTTTATTAACATAATATCTCCTTTATGATCATATTATACAATCAATTGCGTCCACTGTTGGACATAGGCCTCCTTTAATTTCTGCCATTCATTGCGATCTCTCGCAGCATTTATCCAATTTGTCACAATCTATTTAATATAGTCGGACCAGCGTGTGAGTGGACAACCTCTACTACGATAATCTTCTTGTCTAGGAATACAATTATTGTTCTAGCTTACCGAGTATCTGTTCTTCTTGCCAGGTGGCGAGATTCTTCTTGCCAGATTCTTTCTAAGACTTTCTAAGGAGGGAACACTTCACTAACTCGACCAGAATCGTTCTGCTTCCCAAGTGGAAACCAACTTAAAACAGAACTGAAGAACCTTCAACGGTCTAAGACACTCGCAAAAGAACTTACGACCTAGATCAAAGATTTTCCTTGATTTAACTAGAAACAGTCTTTGTATTGTCACGGGGTTTCTAACAGGACACTGTCTCCTCAACAACGAACACCTCAGTAGGCTGATTCTGAGAAATAACGCCGAAGTGCAGATTCTGTGGGGAAAATGGGGAAACACCAGAACACCTTATCACTGAGTGCACTGAGACGACGACCGTTCGTGCCATGAACTTTGGTACGGCTGATGTCGAAGATGGAGAGCTGGCCTCTGTGGAGCCGTCTCAGATACTGGCTTTTGTTACAGCCCTGAGACTGTATGATATACTCGTTATAACTCAAGAAAGGGATACACAATAGATTTGTAAGGTCGCGGTGATTAACTCCCCTCCTAAACATTCTATATTCTACTACTCACTACTCGCTAAGCGAGTCGCTAAGTAAGTGACAAAAAAACGGCGACGCTCCAAAAATTACATATCACCACTTCCTTCGTATTCCACACTATGTATAAAATATACTAAATTAAAACAAATCATAGTCAAAACTTGTTTAATGGCACAAGCACAAACAACATAAACGAATGAAGCTAAATCAAAAAATGTAATTGAATAATATTAAGCATAAATGGGTATTTTTTTCTTTATGGGCTATATAACATTTGGTTTTATAATTTGATTGGCGCTTTCCGGGATAGTATAATAAAATGCTTGGATCCAGGACATTTAAATCCGGGATTTTCCCGGAAATCCCGGACGTCTGGCAACCCTAGTTCCTGTTTCACTTGGTTGGTAGTTGAGATTCACTTTAGGTATGGATTACATTACTGTGCTCCACTATTTTCCTCTGCATAAAGGTGGGTAACGTCTATAGAGGGTAGAGGTGAGGAGAATCATCTCTTATGGGACTTTGTTTGAAAAAGTGGTCACCGAAAAGGGGAAAATGAGGGTTCACCAAATAACCATAGTTGCGCTAATAAGCAATAAAGGATCGAACTGAACATAGCAGTTATAAATAAAATCAAAAAGAGTGACAACACGCGTCTTCAGAAATTGCATATTTACTTATCTCTTTATAATTATTCCCTATGTCGGCGAGCAAGAATTCATTCAAATTATCAAGGGGAAATTATATTAAATTTTTTCAATTATCGAGTATTTTCTTAAAGGACTTCAATATATAGTCTATAAAATGAATAACTTTGAATTTTGACCGTTATTTTTTACCAACATGGCAAATATAAAATCCCTCTGTCAAAAAAGTGACTGTTATTCTTTACAGTGGCGGACTAAGCCTGTCGGGGGCCCGGGGCGGCGAAGCTAAATGTGGCCCCCAGTCTGTTTAGATTATGATATACTTCTAATGCATATTTTGTAAACATTGAATGACGTATGTATAATGGTTGACAAAATTCAAGTATTTATAAATGGTGTCTCAGGCTGAGCCTGCGTTAGAAGTTTCTAGAGAACTACAATATCTAGATATGAGATTTTATGCATATCATTGTTTCACAATGAGATCTATCGATTAAAAGCATTTTCAATATGGCGACACTTTCGGAAGTACCGGAAGTTGACAGCAATTTTCTTATTTTAAATGGGTGACCCCATTTTTTATTACATACTTAAATTCTCTGTAAAATTTTATGAATTTTGATATTAAACACTCTATACCTAACGTTAACCGTTTTTGAGAAAAAAAATATTAATAATTTTTGGAGGAAAAAAACCGCCTGTCAAAAATATGTATACTCGTATAGCTTAAACGTCAAATTTAGTGATTGCCACAGCCACTGTACCATAAAAAGAAGATATGTGGCTATCTATGTCAAAAATTAAATTGTCCGAATGATATATAATAATGGCCGCAGCTGTCATTGAATTGAGCGATTAAAAAATTATCATAAATCATTTTTTTTTCCAATGGAAATCCACTTTTTTATTTCACTCGTAAAAAGGTTTTCGTTACTTTCGTTTTTAAAATTTGTTACATTTTGACTATACTTATGCCTAAAACAGTATATTATCGATCATCATTTTCAAGCTAACTTGGCGCTGCTTTTTTTTCGATCGTACGGTATATTATTAAAATATCAACTATTAGATATCACTAAAGAACGAAAATACGAGATATATTTATATATGTCGCATCCACCTAGTGTAATTCTCCGCTTCATGAAATGGATATCCACTTCGCGAACTGGTTAGGTTAGGTTAGGTTCGCGAACTGGTTAATTTCAGTTCGCGAAATGGATATCCATTTCAGGAAACGGACAATTACATTAAGTGGGTGCGACATATAACATATAAATACACTTTTTAAACTTTTAAGCAGGCAGTAGTTATAATATAGGAAATTCAAAAAATTCATTTTCTGACAGATGGAAATAAATTGTCTGACTGTTTGACACTTAATGTCAAAGGAAGCTAGATAAAATCAAGAAAAATATATACGTTTTCAAACTAAATCTTAAATAACTTAAAAACGATTTATTGTAGGTATAGGGATATGTCTAGTTAAAACGTAACGAATTGGAAAACCTTTTCACTAGTGAAATAAAAAAAGTGGGTTTCCATTTGAAAAAAAATTATTTATGATAATTTTTTAATCGCTCAATTCCATGACAGCTACCGCCATTATTATATGACTTGCTCTTGCATGCTTGAATGACCAGGAGATCGCTAGGATAGACTGGTCGCCAACTGTTTTAGCTCTTTAGTTACCCAGGGTGCACCACGGGGAGGCGAGCTAAAATTGCACCCCTAAAAAGCAGTAACTACAATTCTCGAGAACAGTGGCTTCAGTTATGGAGAGAAATGGCCGATGCGCACCTATATTCCTGGTTCAAACATAACTATTGCCAGACACCGGGTACCGATCTAAACCGGAAAACATGGTCAACTTTGAATAGGATACGTTCTGGCCATGGAAGATGTGCGGATTCCCTTTATAAGTGGGGAAAAATACCTTCCCCAGAATGTGATTGCGGATCCCCTCACCAAACCATCCATCACATAACTAGAGAGTGCAACCTACGCGCTTATGGTGAAGACTGGAGGGACTTCTGGAGGCTTCTCCATCAGCTTTGGAATGTATAGGGCATCTAGATGTTAATATACAGTGTTCGTAAATACGTTTTTTATGTTGTCTTTTTATATTATACTTGCTTTTTTTTATATTTACATTGTAATGTTTTCATTTACATTGTAGTTTATTTTATGTCTATGTTTAAGTGTCTGGTTTTCTTGCATGTATATGAGCCATACGATAAATAAAATAAATAAATTATTATATGACATTTGAACAATTTAATTTTTAAAATAGATAACCACAGGTCTTTTCTTTATGTCACAGGGACTGTGATAATCACTAAATTTGACTTTTAGGCTGTACGAATTATTTTGACAGGTAGTTTTTTTCGTCCAAAAATGTTAAATATTTTTTTCTTAAAAATGCTTTCAGGGAAATACCGCGGCAATAATATCGCGATTTTGTAAGTCCTCCAAGATCCGAAGGGCCCCTTCGCTGTTTCACACCCGTGGCCCCCGTTATACTAAAGGAAATGAAGCTAGAATACAAGTTATGCTGTGCATTGGTTGTAATTTAAAATGTTTATTCAGTAAAAATAAATAATGAAACCATTGAAAAATAACTTAAAAGCTAAAATAAATAAATTCAGTCTCAAAATATATAAAAAAAATAATTATTCGATATTTTAAACAAAGAAAATTACCCCTTGATTTAATTTCCTAAATAGAAAATGCCATTCACAATTATTGGGGCCTGATAATTGATAATTAAGTGAATATCTGCTTCCATTTATACTGTTTACAAACTGCTTTATAACTACTGAACACAATATTGGCCTTGTTTGCCAGTTGAATAAAAAATTACTTATTAAGATTCGGAGGCCCCCTAAAAGACGGGGCCCGGGGCGGACCGCCCCTTCCGTCCCCCCCCCCCCTTAGTCCGCCACTGATTCTTTAAATTGAATGCCTAAACGAATCAGATAGGTAACTCTTTTTACTTTCGTGAAATAGAAAAGGAGAATAATAAAACAAGTGACAGTTCTTCCTCTTCTTGCAAAAATCAACAAGCACTGTCATAATTGTCAAAAGTAAAATGTCATCAGCTTTTGACATTTCTAAATATCAGACCAATGCCGTCTCTAATAGAACAGCCTCGGAGCGAGATTTATGACGTCACGTTAGTTACATACTACGGATTAATAAATATGTTGTAGAATGCATGGAAAAAATAATTATTCCTCGTATTTTTGGTTTGTATTTTAAAAAAGATATAGTTTACATGAAATATACATAATATACAGTTAATAAATACAATATATGTAAAATAAATACAAAATGTAAAATATATTTTACATTTTATTATTATTATACCGTATGATCGAAAAAAAACGGGGTCCAGTGGGCTGGGAAATGACGATCGATGACATTTCCCATATAAATTTACATATAAAATGATAGCGATCTTCATTTCATAGCCATCGTTGACGCCGTTTTTTCTCGATCATACGGTATTTTTTTTATTATAATTTTTTTATTTTTCAATACACGAAAATAATTCTCCTTACCTCTAAACTCCATAGTTACGACTTTATACATAAGACATATTATCAAGTTCCGAGTTGTGTTCTTTAGCTCTTTTAAAGAAGCCCTTGTTGTGTTTTTAACTAAATACCACACGGTCCGAATTCGGAACAACTCTAAAATCTTGTTTGACGTGTCTGTGACGATTATTTTAGATATTGGAGGCTTATCTCCATCCCAACTCCTAACGGACTGGCAGAAACTTCAAAAAGTCCATGGAAGTCCAGACACGAGTCCTGAAATAGAAGCTGGAATTAAATTAAGCAGAAGAGTTCTCACTTGCTGCTGGTCTTCGGTAGTTTCCGTTCTTGGTGCGCCGTTAAAAGAAAAATCTCTTTTAAATGGAACTTCCGCTTTAAGTAGGTTGGTTGCTAGAAGAGCTAGACAAAAACATAAGCAGAAGCTTAGAGACGACATTATCACTGCGAGTTTGGAAGGCCTGCATAAGGTAATTTAAAGAATCTATTTAAATTTTAAAACTGAGATAATAATGAATGCGGTAGGCTATGATTCAGTAGTATTGCTAAAGACTAAGGAAGGAGCATATCAAAAATCTTAGGTACACCGCGATTGGCCTCAAATATGGCCGACTTAAATTCCGGTTTATCAGTGTCGTTCTAATTTTATTTAAAAAATGTAAAACTATGATGTAGGGTAGACGTGGGGTAGACTCAATAATTTGTTGTTTTATTTTACGAATTAAAAATTATTTTACGTGAATAAATGTTGGTAGTTATTAAAATTGTTATAAAAATATATAATTCTAATAAAAATAGATGTTATAATAAGTATTTATTACCACAAACATCCGATACGCTACTGAAGCAGGTAAGTCAAATTAACGTATCTAAAGTCTTTGACATCTAATCTTTGACAAGTAATAAATAAAAGCTAAAATGCAAGAAAAATATATAATTCAGTTAATTTAAGTGAATTTCATAAATGATCGGTTTACTACACGTATGTATATTATATAGTCACTTACTAGCGAAAAGTTGTTCCATTATTTCACTCAATTTTTGCCGAGATCTACCGCACGCTACACAACCAACTATTTTTGACTCTTTTTCGATAAATCGCGATAGTGTCACTGTTAATTTAAGTTCTGCCACAATTTCCATCTAGATTTACTACCTTTATACAACTATCAATAGTAGAATAAATAATAAATAACATAAAATAAGCTCCGTAAAGACTGACAAATCCACAACATTTCAAATCACATTCAAATGTGTCAAATGAATCGTCAAACAGAACTGTCAAGGATCCCCACCCTAGAGTGCTTTTATGGCGCTTTTTCCGCCCACCATGCATGAATACATGGATAGCATTATGCTCCTTCCTTAGTCTTCTTATTCAAACACTATATTAAAATAATTTCGGACTTCCATTGAATTTAACTTTGATACCGTTTCGGTCATATGTATCACAACTCTATATTTGACGCGCGTTTTGCTAACCCTGTTAGCATTATGGGCAGATGATTAGAACTAAATTAATACTTACAATTTGAGCATTTTTATAGGGCCCGGTTGCTAATGACAAAGCGTGACAAAATTAATCAAGCGAGTCAAAACCGATCGAGCGTAACAATTAATTACCGGGAATAGAGGAATAGAAACGGAAGGAATAGAGGAAGGAATTGGACCATTATTTCTATTCATATTATCTTTAGATTTATTCATTTTGACGCTTTCATATGCAACTAATTACTTGTAGTTTGAGAGAGTTTGATTAATTTTAAATTATTAACATGTATACAATGATCTTTATCAAAAATATGTTGAGCAACAAAGATTTATCTGCCCTAATTAATATCGATCTTTTATTTTCCCCAACATGTTTTTGATTAAAATCTTTACCGGAAATTTCATAAATACCCGGCCTTTCCAGTGGAGGTGTTTTATCTTTAGAATTACCTTGGCTGTTGTAATTAAATAGAACCATAAAGCTGTTGTAATTAAATTGAGTTTAAAACTGTTTTAGTAAAACAAGAATGTTAATTTTAGGCCGCAAGTTTAAGTAACACTTTGAAACTACAAACCAGAAGCAGTAGTATTTTAGCACTTCTGTCGGCTTCTTCTTGTAAAAGTTATTCTTCAAAATTACTGGCTTCTCACGCCTTATCTCTTGATGTTTTACTTTCTAAAGGTAAGCCTTTACCCGCATCTATAATCGGTTATTAAACATTTTTCATTTTAGGCATTGAATTAGGGTGCTACAGCCCGGCGTGTTGGCCTCACGTATTCAGCGCCTGCGTAGCCGTGGCTAACTTAGAACATTTCTTGTTCAGCAAAACTGGCTCAACGCAACTATTAATGGTCGCACAAAGCACACAAAATAACATTATAACATCTACCACTAAATCGGACAATCAGGATAAGCTAAGTTTCAGTATGAATAGCGATGAAGAAACGTGGTAACCATTTTAACACATGTATAGTAGATGTTTTAATATTTCGTTTGTTTTTAGTGTGGATGTATACAGTTTTTTGCATAACTCTTACTCATCTGATCAAAATAGTCCAAACGAAACAACTATAGGGGAGATTGTTGAAAAAAGTGGAGCGAACAACGCACAAGGTCAAGGAATTTTACGAGGTGTATATGCAGCTAAAGTTTGTTGCGCTCTGTCACAAAAGGCTGATGAGTTATTCCATTCTGCGGCATTAAGGTTGTCGTTACCAGGATTGTGTAGTTTTATGACGGAGCTTTGTAAAGCATCTCATGCACAGGTACTGTGGAAAATGTTATTGTAATTTTATTGATCCAAACCATTTTATAGCTGATGTTGGTGCTTGTTTTATAGTTAAGTTTATTTTATACTTAAACTAGCTGACCCTGCTAACATACAGTGTGCCTAACAGTGAAGTGAAGTGATTTTTTGCCTTGTGGTATGGACTGAGAGACCGAATAATCTTGAATGATTGAGACTAATAAATTGTTTTCTATATTGTCGCGTCCTGGTTTAGAGGGTTGCGGCTAGGGACGTTTTAGGTATCGAAGATCATTAAAACATCATATACAAAATATAAATTTATTACAGAATTAAATGCATGAGTATATTTAGGAGAAATGTCAAGTAGAATATCTTTTGACAAATAAAATATACTTAGAGAAAATATATAAAAATCAATAAACTTACTTTACTGTCATTATGATACTTGGAGAACTCAACTCAACTGAATCGTGTGACTTCTTGATTCATTCTCCCTTACTCTCCTCTCATTTACTTTTTAATTATTCTACATATTGTTATTTAGGTACAACAATAAGAATTAAACAAAGTTCACCTTCAGATCTTAGTCTGACGTCAACTTGTTCTGGTATAATTCCTATTGTGCAAATATTATGTTTATAGAAATATATTTTGCTTTATATATTGGGTGATTTATTTTAATGATAAATACTAAAATTCTTGTTCTTGACAATATTTTCGTTTATGTTTCGATTCAAGATCCAAGTATTTTCTATACACTGTGTCAATTTTAAAACTTCCCACCTTTCATATCTTTCTTGCAGTTAAAAGTATGAAAAATCGGAAAGACACGTCAATTTTATTTGTAAGGGGGACACTTTAAATGAATATTTTTAGCCTTTTTCTTTCAACCCCCTAGGAGGCGTAGACACCCTTACAATCTTTATTGGGACTTTGAAGCCGCTGCGAGAGCGAACGGATGGACAATCGCTGAAAAAGCTACTGCTTTGACTGTCGCACTACGAGGAGATGCGACTGACATCCTGCAGACACTGTCATCATCGGAACAGGGAGATTATCAACAATTGGTACGACATATAGAAATGAGGTACGGCCGAGCTCATTTGGAGCATGTCTACCATTCCCAGCTCAAAAATCGTGTTCAGAAGCCCAATGACACCCTAAGAGAATATCAAGCTGAAATGGTCCGCCTTGCTCGCCTTGCGTACCCTGGTATGTCCGAAAATGTTATGGAGCGCTTAACAGTATAGGCTTTTAGGGATGGTTTACGTGACAACGAGACAAGGCAAACACTTTTTTTTAGCTTATCCAACGCATTTGGGAGACTCCCTAGCACGTGCCCTGGAATTTGAGGCCGCGAAAGAATGCTCTAGGTCTCTATAGTTTGTACGGGCTGTTGAGGATTGTTCCGACGATTCCAAAGTGGAAAGGATTGTGCGGAAAGTACTGGATCAGTATATGAGCAAGAAGGGGGGACCGATTCGCTGTTGGAATTGCGGACAGATGGGAAATCGTTGCAAATAAGAGAAAGAAGTGAAAGTCTTAAGGACGACTGTGGTTGGTGATAGTTGGCAAACCGAAGATCTTGCAAATGACCAAATCAGTGATCCAGAGTTGGGCTTGGTGATTAACTGGAAAAACGCGGACGAGAGACCAACGTGGGAGGAAGTTTGCAGATATTCGCCGAACGTGAAGTCGTACTGGTCCCAGTGGAATTCATTGGTAATAGATAACGGATTACTTCGCCGTGTGATTGAGAAACCAGAGGGATAAGAAGAGAGAAGGCAGATCGTCATTCCAAAGAAGAGGGTCTATAAGAAATATATAAGAAAGTATGTCCCAGATTTGCAGTAGACATTAATTATTACAATAAGCTATGAGGATGCGTGACATGAGGTGTCAATTTTGGAAGATGGCGTAGTTCCCAAACCAAACTTATATAAAAAATGTCTATACCTATGTGGTGGATTCATCTCTCCAAAAAATCCTATATGGGTATTTCGCAACTGCAAAAAAATCTACAAAATAAAATAGTTATTTTTTGTAAACACTGCTGCGTTAATCCAACTGAAACTACTTGTCAGCAGTTAGGTTTACAGATAAACAAATTTGCCTAACGAACAAAAAAATACTTAACGTTTAATAAAAAACTTAAATAAAAATTGATTTTCTATATCATTTTCTTCGTGATTTTTTCCGATATTTTAATAGTTATTCTGCTATTCGGGACAGACACGAATGAATTCGATAATAGATAACATTAAAATCGGCCCAGTTATTTTTGAGTTATAAATGGTGTAACTAACAAGAAGTTTCTTTCATCATCATCAGTAAAGCACTGATAGACAAGAGCACTGAACATTGTTGAAGTTCGATTAGTAATTCAGTAGAGATCAAGTTGAGTATTTTTCTTTTTGAAGTGAAACTTTTTTACGCGCGCTGGGAGTAAAAATTCAAAGCCGTTCCACACGAGCTAGCGTCACGAAAAGTGGTAACGATCGAAAAAGTGGAAATGTGGATGTTGAGATGGGTCTTTGGAGCTTCGTAACCCGGGTCCTATATGCACTAGGGGGTTGAAACTCGGAATTTAGATTTTTTTTATTATTTCTTCGAACCCCATCTTTTCATGATATTTTGGTTTGGTTTTGTGCACTATGAAACCCTATAATACATGACGAAAAAATTGTCCGATTTAAATGAAATTTGTTATATCGATCGATTGGACCAAGACAAGCTTGACGGTGTACGACACGTGTCACTGTGACAGTTAGTTTTGACGTAAGAAACGTCAAAAGTTGATATCGTCCGATCGTGACCAAATTTGGTGGGTAAGCGTCCCACCCTGCAAAGTTGGATACGACGCGACGTCGACGGCGACATTTCGTTTACATCTTCCTCAGGGCGGGGCTAAGGATTTGACATTGAAGAAAAATGTGGATTGATTTCGGCATATTTGGGGACGGGCTACAGGATGACGCCCTCGAAGTTTCGAACCGATGCCTCTAAATGGACGAAACCATCAGGATTTTTCTTAATTATGGGTCTATTGGAACCATATTTGGCACGTGAATAGAGGTAACCGAATGGAGCCCCCAGACGGACAGACGGTCATTTTAATATAAATCTTGTGAAAGTGAATTAAATTATTTATTAATTATTAATTTAGTACCTTTTCAACATTTCAAACTACACTTTTTCAAACAAGTCTTACAAATCCTTCAATTGAATAGCTGTTAGTAAAAAGTTACACTTCAAATATAGTGCACACGCAATTTTTTTTTTGATAACGACAGAAGATATAACTTCTAGTGTATACACATAGAGACATAACTTCTAGTATTTTATTAATAATTTTGATAAGAAGGAAGATGTATATTTAAACTGTAAAATATTTTTGTTTGCCATTCAATTTGAAATATATGTAAAATATTCTTGAAAAGTTTGACTCCATGAATCCAAACGCAACCTTTTTTTGTATTCTATTTTTTATTTCTATATTTGAATTGTGAATTTATTTCTAGCTGTTTACTAAATATGAGGAATCATCAAATATATCGAAAAAATGGTGGAAAAAAGAACTGGAAATACAACAGAAACCACCACCTACTTTACTATTGCACAGAATTGGAGAAGTAACATTGAAATGTATTAAATCTGGACGGCCTTTGATTCATATTATGAAAATGTGGTCCATAGGTAAAATTATATTATCATTCGTATTAACTATAATTTATCTCGTTTTTATGCAACACCAAATAATTATTTAAAATTATAACTAGTAGATTAAAAATAGAAATATAAAATATTAATCTAAATTTATAATTCTATACAATATTGATACCTTTATGGAAACCTTTCCTTACTGGCAACAGTTGGATATTTTAAAAACAAAAAAATGCTATCACATAATTTTTTTTGCAAAACGTTTGTTACGAAGTAAATGTTTGTTGAATTCTAATCCCAGTGGCATTATGCAGAAAAGAATGTTTTCTGCATAGTTTTTCTGTTTTTAATAATAAATATAAGTTTTATAACTAATATAGTAGTATTTTAATTACAGTTGGACCACACTTTATGCAAGCAGCATGCCATAAAGACAGGGTTGTGTCTAAAAAAGCAGTCACTTGTATTCACGATGCTGTTACTGCTTTACTAAATGAACAGGCAGAGTTGCCACATTTCCACTTCAATGAGGCATTGATTAAACCGTTTGAAAATCTACTTTGCTTAGAGCTTTGCGATCTGGATGTTCAGGTAAACAAACGTTTATAATGAAAAATATAGATTTGATTTTTTTAATTCTAGGATCAGATTGTGGCTTGCTTATGTGAATTCGTTGAAGCTAATAGAACTGAAATATGTTCAGGATGGAGGCCTCTTTTCGGAACACTAAGAGTAGCTAATTCCAAAAATAACGCCACAGCCATTTTAGATGTATTTAGAATCTTTCTTTCAACTGATAATACTTTGGTGTTCTCAAACGCCGCTCTGGATTACATCCTTTGTTTATTATCGCACATTAAAAATTCAAACAGTGAAGATAGCCTTCCAGAGAACTCGTTACCTGCAACTCCTAGCAGCCTTAGCAAAAAATCGGTTGGATTTTTCGAAAAAGACATTGAGTTTCCATCAAAACTTTTGATTGGGTCTGTCGATTTGTGCATAGAATCTTTGAAGTTACTACAAAACTGTGCTGAAATATTGTCAATGATGTACGGCATGCCGAAATGTCCAAGTTTTAACCTCTCGCACAGGGTAAATATTGACACAGACCCACAGTTGGTCGATCCAATTATAAAAGATGTTGAAATAATCAACTTCTGTCAGGTGGACAGTGATCAAATAAGTTACGAGGTACTCTCGACGCAAAGCGAGTTTAAGAGGTGCGAGAAGGAAAACATTACGTTGGCCGGATTAGATAAACCAAGTGGAGTCCTCAAAGTTTACTATATATTAATAGGTAAAACATACGATTGGTCTATTTGAGTGGTAGAAAAAACAATTGGTGAAATAAAACATCATCTTGGACTGACATTGATTTTAATGTAGAAGTTTTATACGACGTTTTATTTGTATCACTAGTCGTTAATTAGTAATATTAGTAATCACTGGACCATGCTAAATCAATTGAAAAACGAGGAACACACGCCCACGCATCAATTTCATCAGGCCGTTGATGAGGGTCTTCAAGTTCTTGATGTTTATTGTGGGTTTATTAAAAATCTTTAGGTTATTTTGCATATTTAGAAGCCGACTACTTGAATTTCTTCTTAAATCACTATTACTCTGCGTGTTTCGCTACTCATATTCTTTTTCTCCCTGTGCCTTGTGTTTAGCCGCACGTTGGCGACTGTCTGTACTCTTCATAAAATGTGTAGAGTGCCGTTTTCGGCTCTTCGAATATGGTGGCTGCGGCACTGATGCAACACCAATCCCGTACGTTTCTTAGCCAGGAATATTGTTTTCTTTCTGGGCCTCGCCGTCCCTCTATTTTTCCTTTTAGAATTAGTTTAGGAATGTAATATTTATCTCCTCTAAGGATATGGTCGAGGTAGGAAACTTTTCTTTCTTTAACTATATTAAGTATTCGTTCATAGCCTGCAGTTCTTAAAACTTCTTCGTTGTTGGCATGTGCAGTCCATGGTACACGTAAGAGACTCCGGAGAGTCTACATTTCGAAAGCCTCGATGCGGTTCAGGGTTCTAGCCTTGAGAGACCACCTCTCTGCGCCGCCGATAGTAAGATGGGTCATATGTAGCATTTTACTACCCGTAGTCCTCGCCGTAGTCTAAGTGCTAGCGGGAGACTGCGTGCTAATAGGAAGTTTTTAAGTTCGAAAAATGTTGTTTTTGTATAATTCGTTCTAAGTTTAACTTCCTCATCGCAGTCCCATCGTTCATTGATCATGACACCTAGATATGTAAATCGTGGTACTCGCTCTATATATATTTCCATCCACCGTCAATGCGGTGATGATTATAGGCTGGCGTCCTATTACCATAAGTTTCGTCTTTGATTTGAAGACCGAAACGATTTCTTATGTCCTCTATCTTATTTATTATTTGCTGGAGATCCTCTAAAGTTGGTGCTAGGATTGCCGTATCATCTGCATATCTTATTATTATTAATTGGAACTCCGTTAATCTTAATTCCTCCACTTTCTTCTTCCAGGGCCATTTGAAAACTCTTCTCGATGTATATATTAAAAAGTATTGATGACAGTATACAGCCCTGGCGGACTTACTTACACACGTTGAAGCTACTCGTATAGTTTTTTTATCTTTCATACAGGGTGGCCCATTAGTGCGAGGAAGTCCAATATCGTCGTCGTTGTCAAAGATATGAAAAAAAGTTTAATACAGATGTTACATGGTTTATTAAGGGCGTATACTAAAATATTTTTTTGTATACAGGGTGTGCCAAAAAAAGTTATGATAGAGTTTTAATTTTTTTTTAAATTGCACCCCCATTTTTGTGTACATACAGATTTGGATTCACCATAAAATTCTGGATATAGTACGCTATTTTTATTTTCAGCACCATGCAGTATTGCCATTCAATTTCTTATTTACCTACTAAAATTAAGAGTCTATTTCACTGGTCCGAAAAAGTAGCAAAATAAGCGTTCGGTATTTAACGTTTTATTTAAAACTGGCTAGGTATTTTTACACAAATGAAGAAGGAAATTAAAGATAAAGGATTATACTATATCCGTATTACAGCACATGTTTAGACAAATTCTTTATTTTTAAGATTTTTATGGTCAAACATCAAAAAAATATTCCTTATGTTTCCACTAAATTTTATCGAAAACTAAGACATAATTTAAAATTCCGGTACAATACGGAAATAGATTGAAGTTTTGTGATTAGAGTGATATATGTATAATTTATATGGTTTTGTAACAAATTGCTCGCTATTTATCAAGCTTAATCAAGCCTTAAGGCTTGATTAAGGTTTGATTGACGATTAATTTTTTGATTGACGATTAATCAAAGCATATGTGTTTGGAATTTTGGCTTGATGTGGCTTAACACGACAGGATCGGGCTAAGCCTTAGGCAGATTTCTGAAATATACTATATATTTCCTTGGGCCACACACCCGCTTTACCCAACCCCTGAGAGCGACCCGAACAGTTTAGCGTAATAGACTCTTAATAATCATGAGCATAAAATGCAAATCATAAGAAAGTCCACTACAAAAAAATATCTATTTATACTGTGTTACCTAAATACTGGCTTTGGTCAAAGTCCTGAAACTGTATGATGAGTTATAATTTAAAAAAAAAGGAGACAAAATCAATCTATAAGGTCGCGGTGATTTATTGTGATAATCTTGATTGATTGGTTTCTTTGGGTTGTTAATTTTTTTTTATAGTTGATTCAGTTAAATTTTTGGGATACCAATTTTGCTCCAGGTCATTTTTCGTATTTATGATTTCCAATAAGAAGGATTCTTTGGAATTACTGTTTTTTTTGTAATTTTTCTTGTGTATGTAAGTTACTGATTATGTCCTATTTAACCCATGTTATATGATTGGAATTACGGTGAACATACTGTTGAGGAATACAGTGTGGGTAGAATTTCTGTAGATCGATAAATCCTGTTGCCTTGCCAGTGATCCTAATAGGTATTTAAGAACTACTACTAACTTTAGTGCTTTTAGTTTAATATTTACTTAAAAACGACTGGTGATATATTAAAATCAAAAGTTCGTATAAAATTTCATCATTAAAGGCAATTCCAGTCCAAGAAGATGTTTTATTTCATTCAGATTGTCTGAAGCTATATTAATTTACGATTTTTTAGATGGATTATCATCTGCTATTATACTTTCTGCTCCAAAAAATCAACCGTACGTTATAGAAACACTTTTTAAACTTTTGAGGGATATCTTAACAACACCAGGCGTAAATTTCGGTTTTTGCTGTATTAATCATATATTGTTGCCGATGGTACAAAACTGGCTGCGACAAAATATGAAGGTACAGAAGCCTGGCGAGGTTTGGCAGAATTTTAAGCATTGTTGTGGTCTGGCCAGCGAGTTGGTTGTTGATTATCTGTATCACGTTCAAGTAAGTTGTACAATATAAGTAGAAAAAAATTAGTAAACAAGTACACATCTATTTATTAAGGCGCATTCTTACGACTCGTGTACTTGACAAACATTTGTTATTGGTATATACTTGCCATGTCGTGAGAACGGTTTCCTTGGTCAGTCGTCGCGTTCCCACTCTCTGTCGGTAAACATAGCCCGAGTAAAAGGATCACAATTATTCGTACACTTGCCAAGTGTGGCTTTGGCCAGCTTTGGCTATACTTGCCGATCTTACTATATCGGCTATACTTACAGATCTCCAGGTTAGTGCGTCATTTCAATCAAATTGCAAGCGATATTGTGGTTGCCAAGCACTTTTGATTTACACTGCGGAAGGTGAATCGGGTTGCGATTGCCAGCAATTTAAAGAGGTTGTACGAGAATCGCCCAGTCAGTGGACTTCCGCAACCGGGTTGCTCAACTATTTTTATTATTTAGTACGTGAACAGGAGAGTGTCGGAAATTTTCGATTTGGGCGTATTTTTTTATATTTTCTACGTATCTTGTACGAGTATATTGTTCTCGTATCTACTAAAAAACAGCAACTGAAATTAATTTTCAAAAAAATTGATTGACAACAAATTGGTTGACAAAATTGATTGACAATAAAAAATATAAATAGTCCGTTCCAAGGAACCAAATTTTCAAGAAATTTAGAAGCAATTTACTTGGTTGCTACAAAATCGCCCAGTGAATGGGGGCCATTCCGCATGGGCGACAAGTACCTATGTATCTTACAATTAGTATTATATTATCTAGTAAATTTATGTATTCTAATAAAAACTTACTTGAATATTAATTTTCTTCCTACAACAAAAAAATAATAGTTTAGATTGAGGTTTCATACAACCTTTAATTGGACATCCCTGTTTTTTCCCCTGTTTTGTTTTGCATTTTGACATTTTTATTTCGGTATCTCGGAATATGAATAATTAACAATATTAATAATTCAGAATTGGTAGTAATACATATTTTCTAATTATTCAAAAAATAAAAAAATAAACATATTTCTTTAAAACCACTAAGGTAAACGTACCAATTATCGGCACCTTAAGCACCTTGCGTACCAGAAGCACCATTTAAATTAATTTAGTAAATAGAATCCCGGAAGATCCCACATTCTAATTATTAATTTGGCTAATTAAAGGTATCATACTACGAAAAAACAATTTATTTAAACCTAAAGAGAACACATAAAATTTACAAACGTATTTAAATACAAAATATGCTGTGCTTGTATTATCGGCATACTAAAATAAATTAATGTTCTAGTTTTCGGCACACATAAGATCCGTTTATCGGCACAGAAATGAATGATTTGAATATTATTAACTAAATACTAATTATTAGGTACCTATTCAGTCTTTATGGTCATTTTTAACTCCAAAATAGGCGCGAAAAGGTCTTTGGTAATCTTTTGACTTTCATTTTCTTTTCTCCATCGGTGCACGCTCTTTTTCCATTCAAGTTTTAATGGTCGAAAAACTGTTACGTCCAATGGTTGTAGAATATGTGTTGCGTTTGGGCAAAGAGCTATAAGAATAATATTATTTTTACTGCAAAACTCACTGACGGCCATCGTTAAATGGGATGTATGTCCGTCCAAAAACAAAATAACGGGAAACTGAACTTTTTGGGCGACTAGCCAAGGATGAAATATATTTGCGATGTACTCAAAAAATGTTACACCGGTCATCCATCCATTTTCTGACTTTCCTATACCCCAATGTTCTGGTACTTTTTCGGCAACTGATTTGGGAACTCTTTTGTAATTAAAAACGATCATTGGTGGTAAAATTTGACCGGAGACATTACAAGTTACCAAAGTCGTTAGACACTCCTTCTCATTATTACTTACAAATGAGTAAACTGTTCTATCATCCTTTTTAACTAAAACTTTGTCTCCTGTCCTCTGTTCTAACTAAAACTTTGGGACTGAGGAAAAAAGCCGTTTCGTCGCAATTAAATACGCGACCAGGGTCATCAGTTATACGAAGATAGTTTGACTCCTCTAAGAAGGCCGCTACTTCTATGAACCACTGACGAATGCGATTTTCTCTAAGGCTACTTCTTGCAGATGAGAGGTTTTGAGAAATCTTTGGAGCCAGTTCTTGATGCCTTCTAAGAAACAATTCGCACCATTTACGTCCAGGCCTATTGTCTGTGAAAATATTCGGCCTATTCAGTTCTTTAACCAATAGCTGAACACTATCTAACAATATTGTTTTTGTTGCAGGAAATCCACAGGCTGCAATCCGAAATAGCCATGCTACCAATACATTTTCTTCTTCTCTTGTTAGTATGGTTTCTGGTCCCCATTTCTTCTCTAAAGCCGTTCGCCTTTAACTTTGTCTTGTAGGGTCGACCTGGGTACTAATAACTTATTAGCTGCTTTAAATGGCATTCCAGATCGAATGGGGCTAACAGCGTTATTTAGGTCTTCCGCAGAATAGAGAAACGGTTTTTTCTTTTCCATTGTCGTGAAATTTAAATCTAATAAAAATACATTTCTCATTATCGGCACGTGAGTGTATGTATTATCGGCACTACTATTATGTCAAAGTTTGGTTTAATTCCAATAAAAAAAAGGGGTGCCGAAAATTGGTGTAAAATCTTGTGGCTTGATATTCCATAGAATGACCAAACACTTCTTTTGGTATCTTAAGGGCTAAAGACAAAATCAACCTAAATACAGTTCAATGCGTATAACCAATTATCGGCATATCTGCCGAAAATTGGATCATTCACTAATATTTATATACCCATTATTGGCACCCATTAAATACTCATAAAAGCTACAGAAAAGCAGTTTTTGGCAAGCAATTAATAAAAATAATATATCCTAACTATATGAGACCCAATTAAACGCTTATAACAAACATTATTCAGAAATTATAAAACAATATAGCTTACCTGTTTCTTAACACGTACACCAAGAAAAGTTTTATACAAGAGTTTAGCGCGATCCGACAAGTATATTTTTGATAGTGACAATTACCGATTTTGACAGACAGTTGTTCGATTGTGAAGACGCGTAGATAAAGGTTCGCTGAAGGTCTTGAAATACTTTTATTTAATAATCTTGCCATAGATATCTTATTTTTTGAAATTATTGATCATCATTAATAAACTGTTAAACTCGTTAGACAGCTCAAGTGAAGATTTGCAGGTCCAATATTAAAATAGAGCAATAATAAATAAACAAATCTAATCAATATTTATATTTTTATAGCTTACAAAACATTCACGATTACTTGATGTCTTGTTTTTCATGTTTTCTTTAAATGTTCCTGACTTTAAGAAACAATGGCTGCATGATAAGTTTAAACGGCCCGAAAAAGGCATTCTATCTAGTTAATGAAATTTAATTACCTTTACTGCCTACCTACATTGCTTTTGGATGTAAATACATGTGTATAATAATACTGTATGATCGAAAAAACACGGCGTCCAGTTGGCTTGGAAATGAACATCTCGATGACATTCTCCATATCATTTTACATATAAAATGACAGCAATCTTCATTTCATAGGCAACGCTGACGCCGTTTTTTATTCGATCAAATTGTACTTATGTGTATAATATTCATTTAATGGTTCCTGTTTTAGTTGCTGGTGTTCATATTTTGTTTTTTTTATTGTGTTGTTGCTCTACAAAATGTTAATATTTATGTGTATAACATTACTCTTTCTGTGTATAATAATACTTATGTGTATAATGTTCATTTAATAATCCCTTCTCGCTTGTTGCTGTTGTTGCAATTCAGAATTTAAATTAACCTGAGGCAGTAGGTAGAGTTTCATCCTCCAATATTTTCCTATGTAAATACTGAAGTGGACAGTATTTCTGATGACAATTTTATCACAAACTTTAACATCTTGTTCTTTAAAATGAAACTGCCATACCTTATCTGTAGATTTCAAAGCAATATCTAAATGCTTTTGACCATCATCATATTGTAGAATTAGTGCCGATAATTGGGGTGGTGCTGATAATAGGTACGTTTACCTTAAATTGCATTTTTCTCGGCTCCAATTAAAATGGACAAAGCTGGGTTTCCCCGTGTAAAAAAAACTAATGATGTTGTTTTGGAATTTATGGATTTATACGAAAATGAGCCCTTCATATGGATGGCCAAATATAAAGAAAATAGAAATCGTAATTGAAATTAAAAGAATCACTAGCAAGGACAATTTCGGGACGACCGGTATCCATGGATCCGACTATACTGTTTACTTGCCAAGGATTTAAACAATGTTTGTGCTGACGTACTTGTCGAAATGAACACGTCGTGTAAGCGCCACACTTGCCAATGTTGTTTACAAAGTGGGGATGGTAGGGATACTAACCAAGTACGCAAATATTGGCGTACTTGCTAAGTGGACGAGTCGTGAAAGTGCGCCTTTACACTAACATACGTACTGAATAACATTAAAATTAACTTGTTTTTGTTTTAAATGTTGTAGGGCGATGAGTTTACAAGAAAAGAAACACCATCAGCAACCTTAGCTTTAAAACAAATTCTTCTAATACTGATCGAGTGTATCGCTCAGCCTTGCGAAAATGTTGCCAGATTAGGAACATCTTGTTTACGACATGTGATACTAGGTGTTGGAAAGATCTTAACTGAGAACCAATGGACGATTTTAGTCACAGCCTTACACCGAGCCTGTTATATTAGCTTATGTCCATTGTACCAATTGACGTTAGCTTTCAAAGAAAATTCCGATAGCTTTTATGGCGATTTGGCTACTGTAAAAGTAGCTGCTAGAAAAGATAGCAGCGTAGTAGAAAACGAAAGATTGTATGAGTTGGCTAATCAAGTTTTCTTGATGGCATTTCAAAGAAATTGTGGAAAATGTACTGGAAAAACATGCGAATGTGAAAAAAGTGTTGCTATTGATGATAGAAGTTACGTATTCTTATTATATCCATTTGATTGTAACACGCTACTGAATCCGGACCTGTATACAATAAGAGTGCCGTTTAGGAACTTGGTTGTTGGTATTCTAGCTCATCAAATGCTAATTCAAACGATTTCAAGTGCACTGTTGCAAAATCTAAGACATGTAACGCCAATTTTAAATATACTTCAAATTAATTCCTGCAGTTTAAGAGGAATATTGCCCAAAGTAAACGCCGAGCATGTTTATATGATGTTAAAATGCTTAGAAGTATCCAATTCGAAGGCCAGAGAATTTGATATGCGACCGGGTTTGAAATTCCTGACGCAGAAAGTCGGTAATTTGAACAAGGCTGCTAATTTATACACCCAAGCTAATACATCAGAAGTGGTGCAGATTATTGTCTTAATAGAGTTGTGTTTAGATGGAATAGAAAAATACGAAATAGAGCCTAGAAAGATGAAAGAAATATTGGCCAAAGAAGAAAACGAAGGTGAAGATATTCGAGATATAGTTGAAGAAACAGAGACTCAAGTACTTTGTGACAGAGATTTTGGTTACTTTGAAAAGTTTTTGAGAAGGTTGCATTATAAGTGGGAGAGGTTTGTTCTAATTTACTTATGGTACCTATTAGGATTTTATAAAATACAATAAATTGTAGATTATGCGAGTCATATATTAACTTGACAATAAACATTCCTGAAGAAACTAGAGAGGACTTAGAAGAAGAAATTCAAAATGAGAAAATGGCCGAACCTGAGGTATTTTAATTATGTTTGTTTAAAATGTATAGGAAAAATAATAATGGCGTAGTTATATTATTTAATAATCCTAAAAAAATATTAAGTATTTAATTGAAACACCCACACTTTTATAGACACTTTTATTATACCCCTATAGACACTTTCATTTTTATTATAGTTAAATTGAGTGTAGATATTTTATTTTCTCTCTTCTACTGGCTTAAAACGAACTATAATTGTATCAAATTGGGATTTACAGTATACAGTATACAGGGTGCTACAAATTGGGGGTACGAGCATTGGTATCTCGGTAACCATATAATAGATACGAACATGGTTAAATTGCCTCAAAAGATGCCTTCAAAAAAGTTTCAACAATTTCAAGGATTGCTGGGTTATTTGAAAAAAAAACGGATTTTTTTGAAAATCAAAAAAATAATTACACAATCCCATAGCCACTTTATGAACGCTATTTTATAGTTTTTTTAGATTTTCAAATTAGCTGATAATTTGTGAGACACATAGGCCAATTTATTTTTTTTAAATACGAATCTGCATTTTTTATTTCAGGTTTTGAAAGAATTTGGTCTCTTGAGTACAATGATATGCCACACTTAATATTTTTTTGTTTCTGGCATTTAAACCATTTTTTTTATTTAAACTAATTTCAAGTCCGGTTCAATTTTTTTACATTGAATACGGAAAATCAAATACAATAAAATAATATAAATGTAATATGTATAATACAATCAGTCAAATCGTTTCCCCGGAAGATTGATTGGATATGATGCATGGAGCAGTAAAATGGCTAGAGTTCCTGGACCTATCGCCAAGGGGCGGGAGCATTACTTGACGTTATTTGTAAAAGTGAAATCAATACACCTCCACATTTACAATAAAGAGTACAAAATGCATTCAGAAGTATAAGAAGAAGATCTGTTGAAAGGGCTATACATAAAATTGAACAAAAAATAAATGTGTGCAATAGGGAGGGTGGTAACCCTTTCGAACATTTAGAGCATTAGAAACTAGTTTGTAGAAGTTAATATATTTATAATATCTACTTAATATTATGCATCTTATTAGATCGTACACTGAGATTTCAAATTCACAATAAAAAAAAGTTAAAAATAATATCTTAAAATTGCTGACCTGGATATTATTTATTTGAATCTTTCAATTGGCTCGATTTTCCTTATTCAATATTAATTAGAGCCATCAATATTTGCATAAAAAATTTTGCATTTTCTCAAAAAACTCAGCAATCCTTTTAAAACTTTTTTGATAGCATGTTGGCGAACATCCCAAGGCGCAACTTTGCCCCAATTTAACCGTCTTCGTATCTATTACGGTTTCAGAGATACTAATGCTCGTACCTCGAATTTGTAGCGCCCTGTATATTTCATAAGTACTTATTTTTAATTAGATCAAGTCAATTATGTTTGTAGGTGTTTAAACTCGCAGAGTTTAAACAGCCATACGAAAATGACGATATTAGTACTATAAGCACTGATTCCGAAAGCTACTTAGACAAAGAAGCTCTACCAAACGTTAAAGACGGCGAAAAGATTGAGGACGTAATACCTCCTAAAAAGCCGTTGGTTTCGAGCAAAAGCGTGGATCAGCCTTCACCACCAGTAAAGGAAGTAAGTAAGAAGAAGCACAAGAGTGAAAATGGTTATTCAACTGACGACGAAACCAACGACATGGCAGCTAAAAAATACGAAATGGCCTATGAGAGATACAAAGTGGAGCTAAATTCGATAAAATACGATAGAAATACTTTATTGCAAATGAGAAAATCTACTATTTCCAGTGACAATATCATTTTAAGTTGTACGAGGCCTGGTGATTTAACCAAGTCTTCCAGGTGAGTCTTTTAACAATCATTTTATAATATGTAATATAATTAATAAAAAGAAGCAATTTGCCCGCTAAACATTTGGGTACTACTGGTATAAAAGCAGTTGATCTATGTTTAAATTAGTGTTGAAACGATTACGATTGCTATTATGATTAAAACCGAAATAATCGTACGATTACGATTACGATTATCAAGTAAAAAACGGAGAAATATATATTTCATATAATTTATAAAACAAACTAACGAAAAAAGATACAAACTGAAAATAAAATATAGGTTCAAAACAAAAACATTTAAAATCTAAGATAAATAAGCAAAATTAAGTCCTAGTCCTGTTTTTGGTATAACATAATATAATTTAATATTGAAAATTAAGAGATATTAAATTTTTATTAAGAAAACATAACATTTTTAAGTTTTCAGAACCCAGTCGATTTCTCTTCGGAGTTTGAATGTTTCCTGCTGTAGAAAACAATCTTTCTGACTGGACAGAGGATGGTTTGAATGACAAATATTTCTGTGCCAACTTATTAAGGTTTGGATACAAAGAGTTTTCAGACCAGTACTTGAAGACATCTGCTGAATGATCTAAATTAGGCGCCTTTAGGTATCTTTCAATCTCTTCTTTAAAACCAGTGACTGAAAACAACAAAAAACATTACTTGAAGCCAAAGGCAGAGTATTCTTTAATTAATTTCAAAATATATTTTTTAAAATTTTTATGGAAGAAAATCTATATTGTACTGACCAGAAAAAATTTGCTGGCTTGGAAAAAAAACAGTGGCTTTTCCATTTCTTGACAAATGTCCCATATTCCATCTCGCGTAGAAGCCTCTGTTACTGGAGGCTTAAGTCCAATCTCTGGCACTTCCTCTATAGGGTCATTTTCCAAGGCAGATGTTGATAATAGAAGTTTTTTCGCATTTTCAATTGTTAGGTTATGTATAAACACCCATGCTTTATACCGAGGATCGAGAATAGTGGCCAAGATATAATTTTTATTTTCTTCGAGGTCACTAAACCTCTGAGTCAAGTGATGTTTCAAATTATCAACTATAATTTTTAAACTATCCTTCTGTTGGATTCTATCCCTTCCTCCCATCCTTTACCCGAAAAACCTTAGTGGGTACGTAGCCGTAGTCGAATACGCAGCGTGACAAGATCGGCCGAGTACACAGTGTACACCTCCAAGCGCGCGCTATCCTCAAGTGTTTTATAAGCAAAAAATCAACAGGTACGAGTACAAGAATAAAGGTGAGTGAAAATTAATGAAAATCATGAAAATAATGAATACCTCAAAATTTTATGGCGATTTAACGCTAATGAGCCCATTCAAGAATACAAACTTACTCGCGTTACTTTTGGTTTAAGCTGTAGCCCATTTTTAGCCATTCGAGTTATAAAACAAATTGCTTTAGAAAATTTAGTAAAATATCCCGAAGCATTAAAGATTTTAGATATGGATACGTATGGCGATGATATTATATCTGGTTGCGATTCTCTTTCTCTTGCTATAAAAATTCAACGCGATCTCATTTCTATACTCAAACACAGCGGTTTTGAACTTAGAAAATGGACTTCGAATAGCTCAAATTTTCTTTCTCAGTTATCTCCAAATGAATGCAAAATTGATTCTTCTCTCTCTTTAAATATAAATTCTCTTTCTTCCTCTAAAGTTCTAGGACTAAACTGGAATCCCTCTACAGATGAATTTTTCTTTGATTCACCAGCGTTGTCCTTGACAAACAAAATCTGTAACAAACGCAATATTCTTTCACAACTCGCAAGCATATTCGATCCATTCTGTGGCATGTGAGTTCCTCTCACTCTTCACCTAAAACTGATTATACAAGATTTGTGGAAGTTAGGTATACATTGGGATGATCTGCTCCCAATAACATTGCTACTTCTTGGTATCAACTCGTTCAAGAATTACCTTGCATTTTCTCTCTCAAAGTTACTCGATATTTTCTCACTCTCAAATATTTATCCCTGGAAGTACATGGTTTTTGTGATGCCAGTGAAAAAGGCTATTGTGCAGTAATTTATTTCAGGATAATTCTTCCAGATAACTCTGTAAAAACAAATTATGTCTGCGCTAAAGGCAAAGTAGCTCCACTCAAAAAAATCTCAATTCCAAGACTGGAACTCTGTGCAGCCTTACTTCTGACCAGGTTAATTGATTTCGTTAGAACTTCTCTTACTAATAAACTTATTAATGTTAGTACGATTATATGGTCCTACTCGATGGTTGTTTTACATTGGCTTAGAAGTGAACCATATAAGTGGAACACCTTTGTGAGCAATCGAGTTTCCCAAATTCAAGAGAAATTACCTCCTTCTTGTTGGCGTCATGTAGTCTCCAAAGACAACCCCGCTGATCCAGGTTCTCGTGGTCTTCAACCTAGCGAGTTACTCGACAATGCCTTATGGTGGGCGGGACCTCCATGGCTAAGCCAACCGGATCTTATTGGCCGCAATCAATTTTTACTTTCCCTGAAACTGAAGAAGAACAACGAAAAGTTATATTGACATGTACTTCACAGCCCTCATTGTTTGATACTCTCTTTGAAAAGTTCTCTTCTTTCTCTAAAATTATAAATATTGTCACGTTTTGCAGACGCTTTCTCTATAATACTCGACATTCTAAATCTCGTAAAACCTCTCCTCTCTCGAAATTTGAAATAAATGAAACTCTAGAATGTATTATTAAATGTGTTCAATCACAATATTATGCTAGGGAAATTCTCTTAATAAATAATTGCAAATCTCTACCTAAATACTTAAGAAAATTGACCCCCTTTATCGACACCAATGGAATTCTTAGAGTTGGTGGTCGCTTGCGCAATGCTTCTCTAAATTTCTCTCAAAAACATCCCGCACTCTTACCCAATAATCATAAATTTACTACTCTACTCATAGAATATACTCATAAACTCTATTTGCATCCCGGTCCCCAAACTCTTCACTATATTCTCGCTCAACAATACTGGATTGTTTCTGCTAGAAAAACAATTCGTAGTGTTCTCTTTAAATGTCCTCAATGCTTTCGCGCTAATCCAGTAATGCCTCAGCCTCCTATTATGGGAGATATTCCTGCTGTAAGACTTTCTCAAGTAAAACCTTTCTCTGAAGTTGGATGCGACTATGGTGGTCCATTCTCTTTATTAAGATATCGTGCACGAGGTGCTAAGTCCTGTAAAGCCTATATTTGCTTATTTGTGTGCATGGCCACGAAAGCTTTGCACTTAGAACTGGTTTCCGACCTTTCCTCCGAGACTTTTCTGGGTGCAATGCGTCGATTCATTTCTCGTAGAGGTCGCTGCAATCATATTTATTCCGATTGTGGAACGAACTTTGTCGGAGCTTCTAGAGAACTGATTAATATGCTAAAATCCGCCGCTGAGCAAGAACAAATTTCCTGGCACTTCAATCCTCCAAGCGCGCCTCATTTTGGTGGCCTGTGGGAAGCAAGAATAAAGTCTGTAAAAACTCACATTAAAAGGGTCATTGGTGACCAATTGCTCACGTATGAGGAATTTTATACGCTACTGGTTCAAATAGAAGCAGTGCTTAATTCTCGTCCATTGTGTCCACAAAGCTCTGATCCTAATGATTTGTCAGTTCTTACTCCAGGACATTTTTTAACCCTAGAGCCGTTAAACGCCCCTCCGAAAGATGATCTTTCCGGGATAAAATTAAATCATCTCTCTCGCTGGCAGTTGATATCACGCTTGCACCAAAGCTTTTGGAGCCGATGGTCTAAAGAATACCTTCAAACACTTTTACAAAGAGCTAAATGGAATGGCTCTACTATTCCAATAGAAATAAACTCGGTTGTTTTAATAAAGGATGATAATCTTATTCCGCTCAAATGGAGCATTGGAAGAGTCTTAGAGATTCACCCGGGCCATGATCGTGTTACACGCGTGGTTACTTTAAAAACAGCCAAAGGCATTCTTAAAGACCAGTGACAAAGATATGCCCACTGCCTTACTGCAAATCTGAAAAGTAAAATTTACTCTCTAAAAAACATAATCGCAAAAAAACATAATCGCAAAAAAAACATAATCGCAAAAAAAAACATAATCGCAAAAAAAAACATAATCTCATTATAAACATAATTCACATCTCTTATTTAATTACTTTACTCTACTCTATAACAAATGTAAACTCTCTTAATATTTAATTAAATTACACTCATGCATTAACCCCAATAATGCATTTTTCTAAATTTCCTCTAAATTTAACTCCATAAATTTCACTCTTACTTTCTTTTAAACATAACGCATTTTTTCACTTTTTTTTTTTACTTTACTATTCTCAAACGAAAATGGAAAATATTTCATTTTGGTGGGCGGTATGTTGGATTCTATCCCTTCCTCCCATCCTTTACCCGAAAAACCTTAGTGGGTACGTAGCCGTAGTCGAATACGCAGAGTGACAAGATCGGCCGAGTACACAGTGTACACCTCCAAGCGCGCGCTATCCTCAAGTGTTTTATAAGCAAAAAATCAACAAGTACGAGTCCAGAACGGGAATAAAGGTGAGTGCCCACAGTCCTGATACATTAACTCACCCTAATGAACTGAGCCCCTTAATTCTCGCCCGTAACACCTTCTCTTTATCCAAAGATTGTTTATTGAGCATTTTAAAAAGTGAATTTACCAATGGGATTGCATCGGCTAATGTAACTTGATCTTTGCTGAGTGCCCTTGTAACATCATTAAAGTAGGGCAATAGCTTAACTACTTGTTCAACTAGGATCTACTGACGGGTACTGAGATCATATTGACATTTAAGTTTAGGGAGTACAGCTTGAATTGCGATGCATTGTTCATTCAATCTGTCTAACATTGCATATGTAGAGTCCCATCTAGTTGGGACGTTAGAGGTAGACGTTTCAGGTAGATTGGAGATTAGGACGTTTCAGGTAGATTGTAATTTTTCTGTGCTTCTTGGAGTATCTTTAAAGCTTTACTGACTGAAATGTCCTACTATTTTTCTAGCTATAATTATAGTTTCCTTTATGTCATCGTCTGTAAATATGGCACCCTGAAAATAAAGTAAATAAATAAATCATTCATCTAGGTATAATTTCAGTTTTTTCTAATTTCTCACCTCTAATACAAGTTGCAACGAATGAGCCATACAAGTGACATGGTCTATTTGTGGAAATTTTGCCATCGCAGTAAGCATATTCCGAGCATTATCAGTTATTATTACTTTAAATTTATCCATAATTCCCCAGTCAGTTAAGGCTTTGAGCAAATTGTCAGCAATATTATCTCCAGTATGAGTGTCACCTTCGAATGGCATTACTTCAACGCAAAAATTACGAGGAACAAAATTATTATCCCATCCATGAGCTGTTATGCTTATAAAATCATTAATATTAGAAGATACATCACTGGTTCACAAGTCCGATGTTACGCACAAATATGAAATATTTTCTAATACGCTCTTTACTTTTGTTTTTGCCCTGGTATACATATCTGGAATTATTGTTTGTGTAATGTGTGTTCTAGAAACCATTTCATATTGCGGACAAAGTTTTTTAATGAGTCTGTGGAATCCAATTTTATTGACATGGTCCAAAGGTTCCATGTCCACACATATTTCCTGAGCAATAAGCTGCGTTATTTCTTTTGCTCTTGGATCGCTGACATCATATTTCTGTGCTCTAGAAAGCACCAGTGGAATGGTGGCTTGTTTATTTTTTTGTAGAGATGGACCAGGTTCTGCAAAAGAACCCTATTTGTACTTTCTTTATTTCATTCTAGATTAGAAAAAAAACAATTCAAATACTGGTGAAGCCAGCACTACTTAAAAGTCTATCCCATTATCGGAGGACAACAACATGTTGTATACAGCTTTAATTTAATTAATTTTACATTTTATTGACACAAAATATCATTAACGAAAATAAAGTATTACATCTCATACTCCTATAAGTTACAAAACGTACTAAAAGATGTCCTTACCTGAAATGATTTGTTCAGACGAAATACTTTTAGACTTGTTAATCTCACTTTCATGAAAACGTTTTACGTGCTCCCACATATTAGTTGTTGTATATCCTTTTAGGCCAGCTTTTTTCCCTCCTCTAGAAATTTCACGAATGCAGTATTTACACCTTGCCTTATTTGGATTATCCGCTACTTTTATAAAATGTCGCCACACATCACTTCTTTCTGGTTTATTCCTTGACTCCATTGCAAAATAAAACAACTCCGTAATACCTGCGCGGTGAAACCCTTGATATATGATTTAAAACTAAAACCCTTGTTTATAATCAAGGCTAAAACGTTTTTGTCTTTACAACCGCGTACGCCGTAACCACAGGCCGTAACACAGTCAAAATAATCGATATTTTCGCATTCCTCGCATCGAGGTGTCCTTATAGCGCATGGCTTAGTTGCCGGGGAATTACCAGTGGTTTTAAAACTTTTCATATTACAATAATCGTATCAATAATCGTATATAAAATCGGCGGTTACGATTAATCGGAAAAATCTAATAATCGGCGGTTAATCGTAATCGGAATTGGAATCGTTTCAACACTAGTTTAAATACAGTAATAGAGAAAAATTCACAGAAACTAATTTTTTAGTTGCTCTATACTCAAATATGTTGTTTGATCATTATTTTTTTATTTAAATATGATTTAGACTTTTTGTTCGAGTAATTAGCCTTAAATTCCGACGAAATTATTTTAATAGGAACGCTAAGAGATAAGAAAATATATTATTTGCATTGATACATGGTCAAAACCAAACTAAACCAACCAAAACTAATAAAAACCATTGGCTTTAAACAGTTAGGTAGTTAAAAAAACGCTTAAAAAAGTTAAAAGAATATTAAATATATTATTATCTTATTTTATTTATATTATTAATTAAAAATCTCCAACAACATTCCGGTTTAGCAACACATTGTATATTAAATAGTCACAATTAATGTAAATTCAATTAAATGGTTGCAGAAAAACGATAATAATGTAAGCGGCTAACAAGAATTTTTAAACACATTTTTATTGTCCGTGTTATAAACTCTTTATACCCACCCTAAAAGCAAATACCGGGTGCGTCTCAAAAGTGGTTCACCCTTATAACTTTTTTATTTTTTCAGATAAAAAATCGAGATTTGGTATGTTAGTATATGACATAAATTAGGATTGATTGACGTATTCAATTCTTTTCGGCCACTTCCTGTTTCACCGGAAATGACTCAACTTCTGATTTATAAATGGCACCCTCGGTATTTTTTATTTTATTCGATAGAAAATGATACTCTGAATAGAATGACATATCGTATGTTAACTTTTGACATTTTCGAATATGGTTTATTTGAAATTGCAACATGCGATTCATAACGACAATTTGACTCGAAATACCAAATGTGTGGTACCAAATTATTCGTAAAAAATGGATTTTTCAAATATGCTAATGAGCCACCCTTGTTTCATTTGAAAAATTGAGATATGATTAAAAATACGATTTGAGCATCTTTTAACCGGCCAGGACAAGACACGAAAAACATTAGACGATTAAATCTATTTTTCCAATGCTCGTTGATTAAAAATTAGTCTTTTTAACACAGCCATGCAACTCCAGATTGAAATTTAAAATACGAGAGAATATCAAAATTTTACATGTGATATGTCATTCTATTCAGAATGTCGTTTTCTATAGAATAAAGTAAAAAAATACCAAGGGTGCCATTTAAAAATCAAAAATTGTAGTCATTTTCGGTGAAACAGGAAGTGGAAAAGAATTGAATACGTCATCAATCCTAATTTATGTCATATACTAACATACAAAATCTCGTTTTTTTATCTGAAAAAAAAATTAAAAATTATAGGGGTGAACCACTTTTGAGACGCACCCGGTATATTTCGTGCCACTGTTGTTAGACGGTTAAAACTCTTAAAAAAGACCTAGCAAGCCGAAACATATGTGGAGATAAAATACTCTCCTTTCATTAAATTTGAAACACATAAAAGCCTGTTTCATTAAAATATTAATATAAAAAAAATGAAATTCGTTATAGTATTTATTAGTAGTAGTACGGTTTGATCAATTTTTTTAAGCTGTGCTTTGACCTTGACGCTTAAAAAAATAATATAAATTTCCATAACAATTATTTATTTGGCATCATACAAAAAATGCTTGACCATTAAACTTTTTGATCATATTGCGAGTCATATTGTATATTGTTAACCATTATACCAATATCAATTTAGTTGTCAATTATGGACCGAGGATGGTAAAATTAACGGAAACCGGAGACTTTTTGTCGGAAACAGTCCTAAGCTAAATCCGTTTATGCCATCTACAATACCTCCCCCACAACCGGTACCACCAGAAATACAACAGCAGCGAGCTTTAAGCATTTGTAAGGTAAGTACCATACCATCAAAAATACAAATGGCGTGACAATATCTTTTAAAATGTGGATCTCTATGTATCATTTATTATAAATTTATAACTTAACTTGTCAAAGAAAATTCAAATGATAAAAACACGTCAACTTTTTCTTTCAATGTTAATCTTGATCAGCGATGGCCCGTGAGTTCTGAAAGAGGATGGTGACAGTCACAGTCTATCCTTCTAGTTTTTATGCTACAAAAGACGTCATTATTTAATTGTACACAGTGTAATGTAGAAAATGTTAATTATAAACAATTTTTAAAAAATTTAATAAAAAATATTTTCTACACCGTACAGGACGTCCCAAACTGAGCGTTAAATTTTCTGTAAAATTTTATGAATTTTGATATCTAACACTTTATACCTAATATTAATCGTTTTAGAGAAAAAAATATTATTTAAAATTTTTGGAGGAAAAGAACTGTCAGAAAAATATGTATAGCCTAAACGACAAAGTTACTGATTACCACAACCACTGTGGCTATCTATTTCAAAAATTAAATTAATTGTTCGAATATCATATAATATTGGCCGTAGCTGTCATGGAATTGAGTGATTAAAAAATTATCATAAATCATTTGTTTCATATGGAAACCCACTTTTTTTTATTTCACTAGTGAAAAAATTTTTCAATTCATTACTTTTTGATTATACATGTTATATCTAATTTGCTTATACCTAAAATAATTTTTTTTAAGTTATTTAAGATTTAGTCTTAAAGCTTAATAATTTCTCGATTTTATCTAGTTTTCTTTGACATTAAGTGTCAAACCATCCCACAATTTATTTCCTTTCGTTAAAAAACTAATTATTTTAATTTCGTATATTATAAATACTGACGATAAAACTATGTGTATTTATAAAAATATATCTCGTATTTTAGTGATAGCTAATGGCAATATGACATGGCCAGATATAGTTTTACATCACGTGACATTTAAAGTCATAAGCTACTGGCACAAATTACCTCTACTGGTTAAAACACAAAAAGATATAACTAAATCTTAAATAACAAGAACGATTTATTTTAGGTATAGGAACATGTCTAATCAAAAAGTAACGAATTAAAAAACATTTTCACTAGTGTAATAAAAAAGTGGGTTTCCATTTGGAAAAAAAAAATATTTATGATAATTTTTTAATAGCTCAATTCCATGACAGCTACGAACAATTTAATTTTTGAAATAGATAGCGACATGTCTTCTCTTTATACCAGAGTGGCTGTGGTAATCACTAAATTTATCGTTTAGGCTATACAGATTTCTTTAACAAGCAGTTTTTTCCCTCTAAAAATTTTAAATATTTTTTTTTCTCAAAAACGGTTAATGTTAGGTATAGAGTGTTTGATATTAAAATTCATAAAATTTTACAGAGAATTTAATTATGTAATAAAAAATGAGAGTACCTACCCATTTAAAATAAGAAACTTATAAGAAGACAAGGAAAGAGAGGGGAGAGCTAACACGCATATTCTCCAGTGAAAAATTTTTGAGGCCAAAATTTGATGGGCGGCCATACTTTGGTGACAAGATATCGAGGTGACGCCAAGCGAATTTTTAGGTTTTTTGTGAATACCGTTTTGTTTTAAATTTATAAACTGTGTTGTTTAGTATGGTGAGATGTTCAGCGTATGGCTGCAAAGGCTGAAGCGAGAAAAAAGTGACTGGAATTACATTTTACAGGTAAAAGTCGATACATAACTTTTGTTATGTAGTCATAAAATGTACATTTTTTTCATTATAGCAGTAAAAATATGTAAAATGCTTTTAATATGTTTTGTACCACATCCAAACCAAACTATTTTTAATAATTCCTGTATTATAATTAATGTGTGAAACTAAAAATAATGCTACTCAGCATGGGTTTCTCCAGTGGCGTAGGGAATTATAATAAGAGAAATACAATTTCTGCAATAAACATTTTTTTATATATTTAAATGTAAAAAAATGTATAAAGTATTTTGTTATCAAATATGTAAAATAATTGTAAACTATAAAAAAAATTCTAGTGATAAAAAATCTATATGTATAGCTGTTATATAAAACTTAAATTTACCTGCCAAGACTTGCTGGGGATGGACAAACTTGTGGTGGGCTACTTGTTACTACATATATTTTTTTAAATATTCGTTCAAAAAATTTGCTAATTTATGTGTATAATAAGAGTTTCAGTGAGTAATTAATACAAATTTAAAAATAAATAAAATAACACAAAGCTTCTAGAATTGTTTATTTTTTTGTGGAAAATTAGAATATTCTTATGATTGAAGGTAACAAATATTAAAAATTACATTATTCATTGAATCCGTACGCAAGAGTGAAGGGGATTGGATAGATTCATTATTATACACTATGTTCGAAAAAAAAAAACGATGTCCAGTTGGCTTGTAAATGACGATCGACGACATTCCTCAGATAATTTTACATATAAAATGTCAGCGATCTTCATTTCACAGTCATCGCTGACGTCGTCTTTTCGATGTCGTTTTGTATAGTTTTTATGTAATTTTATATGTAGAATTATATAGGGAATGTCATCGATTGTAATTTACAAGCCAACTGGACGCCTTTTTTTTCGATCATACGGTATAATAATTAATCTAGCCAATCCCCTTCACACTTGCTTACAGATTCAATGAATAATGTAATTTTTAATTTCCAAACAAACAAGACGCCGTTTTTTTTCGATCATACGGTATATATGTATATAGACGTATAAAACATATGTATTTACATTATTTTTTATTTAATTATACATTATACACACGTTAATAAATAAATAATTGTCTTGATAATCAGTCCACTGTGACTGTTAAATAAATTTTGCATTATCGACTTAGATATTCTAATATTATAAAGGTGAGACTATAAAATACAAAATTGTATATACATTACTCAAAAATGAACGATATATTAGTTTACGTTTTAATAAATATTTTGTATCGTCTAGGTACAAGCTAATTTCTGATGTTACGCCATTGGAGAATTTCGCGTGGTGACAAGTGGCCTCACTTTCAGCTGCCGTGTTACCTGTCCCCTCTCTTTCCTTGTCTAAGATAAGAAAGTTCTGTCAACTTCCGGTATTTCCAGAAGTGCCGCCATATTGAAAATATTTTTAAACGATAGATAAAAAAAAACTATGATGTGCAAAAAATATCCGATGTAGATATTGTGATTCTCTAGAAACTTCTAATGCACGCTCAGCCGGGGACACTCTGTATATTCCGCCACTTACCATTTGTTTTCATGGCATCATATCTAAAACCATCAGGCCTTATTAATTAATAGGTTAATATCTCTGGTTAATATTGATGGTAGTGCATTTCAATAGATTTTTCATATTTTGTTACAACAATCACTACAGAATTTTTTTACTTTCCCCACTTCAAACTCTCTTCTTGACTAACGTTGTTTAACTTCGGTAATCGAGTGGGAATCAATATGTGGACGAAGCTGGATATTTGCCGTAAAAAATAATCAAATTTATCTTTTATAGGCTATATTATGTTTGGTTTTAATAATTCATAAAAATATTTTGAAATTTAAGTTCTATTTTTTGCTGTAGTGCAGTGGCGGACTAAGCCTGTCGGGGGCCCGGGGCGGCAAAGCTAAATGTGGCCCCCTGTCTGCACATTTTTTAAAGATTGAATGACGTATGAATAATGGTTGACAAATTTCAAGTATTTATATATTGTACTAATTGTAATAAAAATCGATATATATATATACAGGGTGCCACAGAAATAAGTGCAAGTATTTTAAGGGGTGTTAGATAAAAGAACCATATTTTTTCTTTATCGTTTTTCAAATAAGTCCAAAATATCGGAGTTATTTTACTTTGAAAATATACAAAGAAAAATTTTGCTCTTGTAAATTTGTTCTTGTAAACTTAATCTTATACCTATGTTGTCATATTAACAAGAAATTATGTTTTTTAACTAAAAACTAAAAAAATTCACGAAGTTTTCAATTATTTTTTCTCAAAAAAAACGTGTTTCTGGGGTTGAACTATACTACCATAAAATACTTGTACTTATTTCTGGGACACCCTGTATATTACAGTCAGTATGTCCCCGGATTGTCTTTACAAGAGGAAAAACTTTTTAATTATTGACTTTTTGAAAAAAATGCGTTCTTCATAAGAATTTTTGGTTGTTGTAAAATGGCGTTTATAATTTTCTAAATATCCATACCATTTTAGAAAAAATAAAAAAAAACATAAAAATGTAGTTTTTAATGGAATTTTCCCCCCCAAAAAAATCCTAAAAAAACTAAAAGTCCTAAACATTAAAACGCTATGGTAATATAATTTCGATTTCATTTTTTGATAGATCGTTATAATTCATTTTGATTAACGTCATATTTTTTGATGTAAAAGTATAACATTTTCCGATAACTATTATCACCCTTTCCGTAGCATTGAACTAAATAAAATTTGTGCTTCTTTAGCATTTTAAAAGAGCAAAAAATATAACTTTAATTAAAATTCTGTCAATAATAATCTATTAAAAAATTATCACGAAATTATATTACCATAGAAAGGCGTTTTATTTTTACTAGTTCAAAAATTCAACTACATTTTCATGTTTTTTTATTTTTCTCTAAAACGGTATGGAAATTTGGAAAAGTATAAACAACAATTACCATTTTAGAACAAGCAAAAAATTTTATGAAGACAATCCGCGGACATACTGTAGATATAAATACGTTATTCATCGGCAGTGCCGTTCTTACGTAGGGACCCGACGCGCGACGGGCCCCGACGCGCGACGGGCCCCGACCTAAGAATTAAGGGCCCCCTCGAGGGCCCCAGCTTCAAAAAGGTATCAAAAACGATAACATCATTTTTTTAAAGCTTATAATAATACATTTAAATTGAAAAACGAATGCAATTTGACGTAATAAAACAATCCCCGAGCGAATGTTTACATATATTTAATGGCAATATATGATGACAAAGTGATGGGAATACCGGTTCCACATATATGCCGCGTTACTTTCGCGACCGTTCCAGGTAAATACCGCGATTTTGTAAGGGGCCCCTTACAAAATCGCGGTATACTCCTATATATGTCCAAGAATAAATAATAATTATTCGAATATAAAAAATAATAATTAGGTACATATTCGATATTCTAAACAAAGAAAATTACCCCTTGATTTAATTTCGTAAATAGAAAAATGCCAATGACAATTACTGTGGGGCCTAATAATTGATAATTAAGTAAATATCTGCTTCCATTTACATATACTGTGTTTAGTTTGCGTATACTTATGGTTTGCATACTCTAACTACAAATTGCTTTATAACTACTGAACACATATTGGCCTGTTTGCCAGTTGAATAAAAAATTACTTATTAAGATTTGGAGGCCCCCTAGAAGAAGAGGCCCGGGGCAGACCGCCCCTTCCGCCCCCCCCCCCCCCCTTAGTCCACCACTACTGTAGTGTAAATGAAAAAAATAGTTTGGTTAGATATTGATATCTAATTCGAATTGTTCAATTTTAGGATGCAGAAGCATATAAAACGACTAAAATAGAAACCATGGAGGCCTGCCTAGAGCTACTAACAAGCTTATCTTCAGAAAAATTATCTCCTTTGGCTTCCATATTAAAGCAAGGCGCAGTGTTATTGATTGGAGCTCAGGATGAAAAAATAAAGAAGGCAGCAGAGATTCTCTTACAAAGAATGAATATATCATACGTAGATCATGACAACTATTAATCTTACACAAATCGCATGCCAAGCTTAGTTATCAACGCAAAAGCCTGGGTATTTTAGTTTACTAATCAAGTAATGACTGTAAGAGTAAGTTCAGTAGGTTACTTATTAGGAGACACAATTAATGTGGAAAAATGTATATTGTTTGCGCACAAACAAATATTACTGGGTTAAAAGTCCAGGTTACTCTGCAGACACAACATTCTTGGTGGTTCTTTCTTGCTATTAAGGGACCGCCATATGCCGGAGCACTGCAAGACCTATATCTGATATCAATTAAACTTTTAGTTACGTAATCGGGGGCGTAATTTTTAAATTCATTGTTGCCAACCATGGATATATTCGGCGCCGGTCTAACTAACTGGAATTTAAATTTCGCGCTGGGGATTGAAGTGGTAGCTCTGCTGTAAAAAATGTCAAGTTGCTACATTTATTTATGTATTTCCTGACATTGTCATTCGTTTTGACACTTTAGTTTAGTATTTGAGTTTTTGGTTGAAATAAATAGTGTTGTGATACTTGAAGCTTGAAAATGTTTCCTAGCAGACCTTGCCGTTGAACATTGTTCTTTTTAGGAACTCTTTTAGTGCGAAGTGTACAAGATAGCTTAATAACCGTAAAAAAATCATCGCAACTTTATTACAATATTTTGAACGCGAAAGCAGTAGTAAGGCCCTTTATGTCCCTTAAGTGCTGTTAAGAAAGTAAGTTTTGTTGATGTAAATAATAACTGTTTATATATTTATAATTAATTTATTATTGTTTTCTAAAATGTTAAAATGTTTTGATTAAAAGAAAATATGTAACAGTGGGCATCGCTGTGGTGGTCAAGCTTAAAGCTGTGGCGGTCAGACTAAAAGTTGATTTGGTATGAACTGTATTGGGTTTCTCCTTTTGCTATGTCTGCACCCAGTCTCCTATCCGTGTTCGCCACAGTAGTTTGTGAAGGATCTTAATCGTATGGGAGCATATTTATTCCAGTTCTAGTCATGCATTCTAGTGTGCTATTTCAGGATCATCCCGGCAAAGTAGATATTTCCTTGACACAGACTGATCTTGTTCAGGTGGCACTTGATAGCCATATGCCCTGTAAAGAGACCTGCTGTAATCAGCAACTTACTGTTGCTGAGAATTAGCTGTTTGTGGTTTCAGAATTTTATTGCTTTGTGGTTTCAGAATTGAGTTTTTGTATGAAGGCTTTGAGAATGATTCCCAGACGAGTCTTTTTATCGAGACATCCCTAATTTAATATAAAAATATGACAACTCCGGAAGCAGTATCAATTTAAGAAACCAAAACATGAATAATGACAGATTGACGGCGCGCGCGAATGTTTGAAAAGCAAAAAGAAGAGAGTCGACAACCAGCTTTAGAATGGTGTGCATCGCTTCTGATGGCGGAAGAAGTCGATAGTCTCGATTTCAACAAATGCCATGGAACAAGGGCTGCCTTTTATAGCCTTATTTAAATAACTTGCTTGCTTCTTTGCACAATTTAAATAGAAATAAATTGTTGATTTCGGTTAGAGTTAACCTTGATTTTTATGCGTCCGTTATCCGTTGATACGATGCTCCGACGGCGCTATGATAGGTTATAGCGTTTTCGCGCCACTTTTCATCCGTAAATTTTTACTCCAATGTTTACGGTAACGGACGTTTTGATACTTTTGACAAATTTAATCTAACCTTAATAAACAAAAAATAGTTAAAGAGTCGGGAAAACGAGAATTTTAAGAAAGCTGGTTCTTTAATATTGTCCCCAAGCTATGTCGCGACAATATATCTTTTACTATGCTCTCCTGACTAGTCATGACCAGAGAGAACATTAATAACTAAAGTGAGAGAGACCGGTTAACGTTAATTTTTGAAGACTGTGTTAGTGGCGCGGCCTTTGGCGTCTAACCCGAACTATGAGCGTATTATCGATATAGTAGGTTGCATTCATACCTATATACAGGCGCCAAAAATTTAAAATTTGTATATTTGAACCGAATCTTAATCTTTCAAGTTTATAATAAGAAATCTTCGTAGTTTTTTTAGATTATTTTCTTGACAACGAAAATTTATTATTAGACTTTAAAGCAATAAAACCTATAAATACAATACTGTGTAGGAACATAATAATTTATTTAACTCCAGACTCCTTGCCATACTCCAACTCAAGGCTGCAATCTTCAGTATCTTTTTTATCTAACTTGGTTGGGAGTGAACAGGGAAGCACGGTTTGGAGCTCGCACATAGTATCAGCCGGTATCCCGTAGATATTCAATGTTTTTGATGGTCTTTATTCTATAACAAGAACCTAGCAGTTGAAGAAAATAATTTGTATTACTGGAAATAATACCAGGTATAATACCTAGTCGTTCCATAGGTATCAGAAAAGAATGTGATGTTCAAATTAAAAAAAATAAATTAGCAATGTACGATTATTATGTGCACTCATTATTACTATTAAGTATGTTAAAATAATTACCGAGATAAAACTTACCTTTAAAGGAAACGTTTTGTCTGGGTCTCAACCACAAAACAAAAATTACAAAATGCGGAATAATCGTGGAATCTGAAATAATCAATAATGACAATAATCTTCTCTTCTGACAAGCTAAAAGAACAGGCACATTCAGTCAAAAACAATTTATTACTCCAATTTGCTCCGATTATCAACACATTTTAGTTATCTCCTTCTAGAGCTAAGAAATAGAAAAAGCTACTGACAATCTAATTAATCCTGTCAAATGTTTAACTTGCAAAGTTGAAAACTTACTTTTGTGACCGCCAAACGCTATGCGCGTCTGGGATGCGCGGGGACAAAATAAACTTGTCTACGAAATGCCCTATTCTACAAGCCCTCTCACTTTAGTTATTAGTTTCTCTCTGGTCATGACCAAAGTGCGGGCCGTCTGGCTGCCGGGAGACTACTGCGGTCTACTACTGCGCATCTCATCTGTACATCATTAGTGTTTACATGCTTGTGTTAGTGTTTACGTTGTCTTTGTTAGTACATTTGTGTGTTTTATGGGATTTCTCGTTTATGAGTAGAGATAGAATAATGCGAATTTCACATTACTTTGCAAATTTTTTATGAAACTAAATATGCTACACATATGTGTTTGTCCTAGCCTACTTAGTTACGGAAATACCGGGCGAATTTGTGATGCGCTGTAGACAACAGATGTTAAATACAGATATGATGCGCAGTAGTGAACGCAACGTTTACAGGCAGCTTTCTTAAAATTCTCACTTGAAGTGCTCATTTCTCACTCGTGCCGTCATTCTATCATCATTCACGCTTTCGGATTTTTAAATTGTTACCGCATCCGGGGTTGTCATACTTTTATATTTAAATTAGGGATGTCTCGATAACAGCCTAGGCGATATCTTTGTCACATATTGGCTCCTGTCGCCTGACTGCCTCGGTCGTTTTATTCTTTTTTAGCTTTTTTCATATAGGCAATTGTATTTATTTTATTTGCCTATATGAAAAAAGTTTTTAACGTTTTAAGACGTATATTTCCGGCAAAAAAACATTTAATTTTTAAATTCTTATGATTAACTTTTTTCAGGCTGATAACGGAGGGCCATACATCGCTGAAACTTTAAGATTATTTAGGCCATAAATTAATTAGGCACGATTAGGTAAACTTGTTTCCAAGTAAAGAACCACTGAGTAAACCCTGGCTTTTAAATTCAGTTCATCCAATTTTTTACTGTTCCAAGTAGTACTAACTACTGAAGCTACCTATTGTACCAATTTCTTAAAGCTTTTACATGTATGTATTGTACTATTCGTTTGGTTAGAGCTGGAGCGATATTGAAAAATTACAAGCAGCCAAATAATCAGGGCCCGACTGTAATTATTAGGTTAGTGACGAAAATCTCAGTTAAAATATATGCAACTTAGTAACCTGCTTTAAATTGTATAGATTGCGGATTAATTAAAAATTAGCAACGTGGAATAAAACAATTACAAAGAATATTTAGCATTTTAATGCAGGATAGCAAATGTCTCGCTCTATATATTTAAAATTAATAATACTTAAAATGCATGATCTATACTTGCGAAAAAAATAGCGAAATTTTAACATAGCTGAATATTATTTTTATAATTACCTTAGATCTTAAATTAAATAGCAAACGTTTATTTTTATATGCTAGAATAGAATATTTGTATTTATGTATGAGTTTAATATATGTATAAACATTTTTTGTAGATACATATTATTTTTAGTTTACAGCGGTTTCAGATGGAGCGGACCGTCCGCTATGGAGCGTCCGCGCCTTCGAGCAAGTACCATGAGTTTATATGAACAATTTCACATGGGTCGCGTATGCTCCGTCCGACGGCTATCTTGAAAAAACACGACGGATTGTCCGTTGCGGACGCTCCGCTCCATCTGAAAGCGCTGTTAGTTCGAATTTTAAATATATATTTATTTAAAAAATACAATCTGCACAACAAACTTTTTTTGTAAACAGCGAGGTGTAGTCAAACATATTGCTGTATAAAAATAATAAAAACGCAGTGTGATAACTATATAATATCTGAAATATATATACAAATTCGTGTGGGATGTTTTATTTAATTTCCTAAAATCTGCCATCCTTTTCTTGAAGCAACTTATGCGACTTTTGACCCTCCTGTAACTTTGTTGTGGATAAAGCAATGTTATTCATTTTTTACTAATCAAAAGGGCGTAGGTAGAGGAAGTGAAGGTATTTTGAAATATTAGTTGTTAAAAAATTGCCAAAAAATTATATGTTGATTATTTTGAATAAAATAAATAGCCTGCCTAGATCTACATACAGGGTGTCCCAGTTCAAACGAAACAAGGCAATTTAAAGGTGTGAAAAGGACAAAACGGTGAAACACGTCAACTTTATTTCCGAAGGGGAAATATAATGCGGCTATTTTTGAAGCCCCTAATTCAAACACCATACAGGGGTGACATCCACCCTTAAAATCTTAAATGTAATGCGGGGTCGAGTAGCACATCATTCGAAAGGTAATTAAAGCCTCTTTTCAGCGCCGCGCGCCCTCTCATTTTTGGAGTTTTTGTCAAATTTGACTGAAAAATAAACTTTTCATAAATTGATGATGCTTTGATATTTGATTAATTGTACAGGGATGGAAATGGTGTCCAAAATAAGAAATTTAGATTAAATCAACAAGATTTTGCTTAATGAATAATACACAAAAAGTAGTACCCTGCTTTGAAACAATTGTGACGATTTACTGTTCCGTAGATGAAAAATGTACATTCATTCGAAAAGCACATGTTGAAAAGAAGACGTGTACTAGCCGATAAGAAACAAAAATGTAAACAAATTTTTGGTAGGTAAAAAATTGTTTTTATAAATATCTTATCTTCTTTTGAGGCAGTACTGCTAAATCTTTTTCATCTTGTCATTCAGTTTGGAAGTATTATTAATATTTTGTACGGCTTACTGTTCTTAGTATTATCGTAAGAGTATTTAGTATTATTGTGAATTGACGTGACGTGGTTTATTCTACTGCAGATAAAGTTGAGATAATTGAAACTTTCTTTAGTCATGACGGATGTGGCAATAGAACGGCACAGTTATTTAACGAC